GTTACAAAACTACATTTCTAAGAGCTTTCCATGTAGCCGAGTTCAGAGTTCAGACACGCGGTTCCTCTGTCCTGTTGCGTGTCCTCCCTCTTTCTCACTTCCCATATTTCCCGCCTCTGCTGTCAATAAAGGCTCAAATTGAATGCTTTCAAACCAGCCGTCAGAGAGCCGTCAGTCACATCGTCAGTCCACCTGTCAAATATGCCCTTTGTGTTCCCTCTTCATCATTGTCCTCAGAACAACACACGATGAAGGTTTAGACTGACGACTCAGCGTGAGCGGTGGCTCTGCTGTGAGCAGACTGAGTCTTCGTTTTCCAGCTCTAGTCTGCGAAATCTCACACGTCTGGTCTTGACACTTGGGTAATCCGTCGTGCATCCAGCAGCACGTCCTCTTTTGTGTTTAACGTTATCGTACTGCGGTTAAGCTGCACTTAAAAGTCCTCTTTGAGGTGCATTTGGGGACTCGTGGGAAGTGTCGGAAAAATGGTCTCTAGCATGAATGTGGATAATATATATATATATATATATATCTCAGACTCTTTACTCTTTCTGCCATCGATCGCGATCACCCAATGGAGGAGGGGACGCCCCGACGTTGTTTAAGGAAAGGAGACGAGGGCGGAGCAGACGTTACACTGGGGAGGAGATGAATCACTCATGACGAGAGGAGACTGGGGGTGAGATGGGAGGGAAGTTATTTAGAGGGTGAGAAGCCGAGGTGAGGGAATGAATGAGAGGACACGGCGTGAAGGTGTACTTAGAATGTTGTTTTGCTTTGTGACACAGCAAGGTCACACCTCCCATGATGCACCTTCCTCCTTAAAGCCACAAACACACACTGAGACTTATTCCTCTGCTTGAATTTCTCATCCGTTTTTCTTACTTTTCCTTTTTACATCCAAAGAGATGCTTCAGGTTTCTTAGTGTGCTGCCATTTTTCTTTCTTCAGGACTGGTTAACTAATTATTACTTCTTCTTGAAGCCTAAATCCAGGCATGCACACATTTTCACATTGCTTGTCATTGTAAATTGAATCTTTTCGGACAAAAAAAGGCAGTTAGAAGACATTTTTCACTGTTCTTTGATATTTTACAGACTAAATATTATTCAATATCTTGGTAAAAATACAAGAACTCGACAGATAAGTCAATCAGATGAGCCCTAAATGAGCCGAGCTTACCTTTCCTTCGAGTAGCTTGATATTTGATATTGCTTTATGGCTTCATCTGTGTGTGTGTGCATGACTATGTTTGTCGTCTCTGACCGACACGCTGTCTTTTTTCAGAGACTGGCCTTTCCAAAATGTCAGAGGTCAATCCTCCCACAGACATTATTGAACCGTTGTCTCCCTCCGTCAGCTCCCCCCGCTCTCATCTCACCCAGGCCGTCCTCTCTTCAGCTAATAAACAGACAAATAGCAAGGGCTGCTGGGAACCAGGCTTTAAAAACATTGTTGTCATCTTCTCAGCTGTTTGAAGCCAAAACAATAAAAATCCAAATTTGGCTTGGACCTGTCAATAAAGCAAAGAAAGTTCTGTAAACTCCTACTTTCATCTTCACTGGAACTAGAGTCTGTAGAAGCAGAAGAACTGAAACTGTGTTTCTTTATCCTAGTAGGAGTGTTTCTAATACTCTGGAGCCAGCAGCCGTTAGAGGAACTGCAACCTGAGGCTCTAATGTTCACCTGTGGCGTGTGCGGCTTCATCCAGACATTATCGTTGTTGACATTCAGCGGATGAAGACATCAAATCTTTCTTAAAAACAAGAGTCTGATCCAAGAGATTTAGATCCTGCTGGGAATCAATCGAAATCCCGGCTTAGCTGGACTCCCTAAAAGACAGATTTGGTTTGTCGTTTGTTTCCCCCCCCCCATCATGCATTGCAGCTTATAGTTACATCCAGCTGTTTCGGTGTAGACGCAGGTTTGTAATTATTTGTGCTCCCATTGTTCCACTCTCCTCTGTACAATCAAAGGCTCTAGTGTTCTTCGTACACTTGTCTGGTCTCCCTTGAGTCCTGCTTCGCTCTGGTGTTTCCCTCTGTGTAGCTTGACGCTAACGCTTAGCGACGGTGGAGGTGTGGTGACGGGCCGGGGGAGGAAGGACTGTTTTGACCGTTTACCATGCGACGCCCCTCGTCGTCTGTGGTGTAACAGTGTGGCAGTCGAGGCTGGAGCTCGGCTTTTATTTCATTTGAAAGCATTTGGCTGATTGTCTCATCCAGGAGGGGATTCTCACAGTAGAAGAGAAAAGAGTGACGCAGATAAGAGTCAGAGAATGAATACAAACCAGCAGCTAAGGACCATAGTTGTTTATTGTCATTCCTCTCTTAGTGTTTTCATTTCAGACGGGTACAGAGGTTCAGGTACTGCTTAGATTTCCTCGGTCCTGATGTTCGGTGTATATCCGAGGCACTGATGACATCTTGTTCCAGATCCCATCCATCCTTTAAAGGAGTTTAAGGACCCTCCAGAAGCTATAACGTACAGCTGCGATGGCCGGCGATGAGTGGTGTCACAATCCATTGAGTGTCTCGACAGCTCTGTGATGGATCTCGCTCTGGGAGGGAAGCCGAGCAGGCGTCTGATGTGTGCGGACAAATGCCAAACATTCTCCAGTTTCAGCCTCGATTCACTCCACTCACATCCAGCAGGTGTAAGCAGAAGCTGCACTCAGCCGTTCCTTTCTAACAGAGGAAAGATTGATTTTGTTATTTTTTATATTCGTATAGATTTAGCCTCTAGGGCACTTTGATCTTGTGCAGAAAGCCTTTTGGGGGGGGGGGGCGCTGAGTGTTGGGACGGTTGCATCAGCAGCCGGGGCCACTCGTCCGTCTCTGACAGGCTGATGAAAGGCAGTAAGTGTGGGGGGGGGATGAGAGAGAGACTTTTCTGCCCACTCTGTCTGCCTTTCATCTTTACAGCTGTTCGTAGAAGTTTCAGCGTTACTTCTGTGTATCAGCACCCCCCCCCCCCCTCTGTCCAGCTCAGCCCGTTGTTTTCATTTTTGATCGTGTTGATTGCTTTTTTTCTTCTTCTATTGTTTTCAGTCCCGTTGAATGGATTACTGTGTGACTGCAGGGCAGGCTGTACACAGAGCAGGGATACTGGGGGGACTGATAGTAACTGAATTCACCAAAACCCAAAATGTATTCAAATCAAAATGCTACAAAACACAGAAAAGCAGCCAATCTTTGAGAAAAGACAAAACTGAGATGTTGGAACCAGCTCATTTTCGGCATTTTTACTTCATAAATGAATTAAACGGTTAATTGGTTATCATCATTTTTTATCATCATGCGTCCTACATACGCATCCTTTTATTTATTTACTGCTTATCTTCTTTCTCTTTTATCCTTTTTACACAGGCCTTGTCAAGCCACGTCTTTCATCCTCAGATCTCAGCTGTCTCTGTTAAAATGTCCCTCACTCATTCATTCACATAACATTCATATCTATCTTTGTGTTTCCCTGTTGTCTTCTCGCCATCACTCTGCAGCCCCTGCTCGTCTCTTTTAGAGGTTTTACTTTCTGTCTCTGAAGCCCCGGAGATGAATTATTGAACAGACTGACCCGCGGCTGCACAGCTGCTGTTTGGCTGAAGTCTTTTCTCCGATTACATTTCATCTTTAAAGTGCTTCTGGTCTCGTATGCGGCGCCGTGTTTTTGGACAGTTTTCTGTCTCGGTGTGCACGTGTGAAGCGGTAGGAAGCTTGTGGCCGAGGTGCAGATTGTACTTTCACAAGCTCATCTTTCTCATATACGGTTCTCATTTCGAAGACATCAAGCATCCTTATTTGTGTGTGTGTGTGTGTGTGTGTGTCTTGACGAACATGTTCGCTTCAGTTGGAAAAAGGACACCTTTACAAGAATAGCAAACCATTTTCAGTCCCATCGGGGGCATAATTGAATTTGAACAGCTTGTCATCAGAAAGAACACAAAGCTGCACTAAAGGACCCTTCAAGTGTCCCTTTTCATTTCATTCTCCCTTCATGTGACGGTCCGCTGGATGAGGCACACATGTGCTGCTGCATGGGTCTGCAGTTAAATGCAGGAAAGGTTACGTACGTACGGAATGAATGGAAAGCACCATGACGTCCTCTAACCCAGGCCTCCCTGTGTTCTGTCTTCAGGCTGTTCAACCTGACCCTGAAGAAGCTGATCATGCTGAAGGAGCTGGACAAAGACCTCACCTCCGTGGTCATCGCCGTCAAACTGCAGGTACGAGAAAACGTTCAATTGATTTGGTTTCATTCACAAAACTATACTTCTGTACATGGAAATATAATCTAATATAACCTGAAATGATTCTATGAAACACAAAGATATTCAAACCCCTATGAAATAGCTGAGTCAACAGTCTTTCAAGCTTGGCTTTAATCAGCAAAATTGTATTTTAGGACTTAACAACTTTAATTTCTCTTTCTCTTTAAGCGAATCAAACCAGTTGACCAGTACATGTTGAAATGCTGCTGAATAAGCCACAGAATGAGCGTTCTTTAATAGTTTTTTTGTAAGTGTCTGTAGGAGTTGTTCATTGTTTTGTCGAGTCAGCTTGTTGGATCTGGACACACTTCCTCCTCTCTGTTTACAGCCAGAATACTTGTGCAACTCCTCCACAGTTGTGTTCTCTAAATCACGTTTTCCGTCTCCGTCTTGTCCGTAATAGAAGTGAAACAACAAAACCCTTCCAGTTTTTGACACATGATTCAAATGAGTGCTGTGGCTCTGCTCCCAGTATCTGCTCCTTGGCTTGTTTTCCCTCATCACCATCATCCCCATCTTGTTTTCTCTCGAAGTAAACCGACAGATTCTCTGCTGTGTCTGGCACATAATACACTTTAAGTGGTTTTAATTCCTCCATGCTGCCACTTGCTCACTCTTCCTTCTCTCTGCTCCCTCCTATCTGTCACTTTCTTCTTCTTCTTCTTTGTACCCTGCTCCCGTGACGCTCTCTCCTTTGTGTCTCCTCCTCAGGGCTCCAAGCGGATCCTGCGCTCCAACGAGATCCTGCTGTCCTCAGCGGGACTGACAGAGACCGACCTGCAGCTCACCTTCTCCCTGCAGGTAAAGACAAAAGCTTCAGAGAGTGAGGTCAGGTGTCTGTCAGTCAAAAGTCAAACAAAAACTTTGTTTGTGTGCTTTTTTACCCAACAGAAATTGAAAAAACACAAGAAGTTTTTGACATCTTTCTTATGAATAGTTGAACAAAAGTGCATTCACTCAAATCCTTTAAAGGTGGAAATACACAACAGATACATGATGTAAAAAACACAATGAGACTGGAGGAATGATTGACAGTTGAATACAAATCAAGCCTTGTTTTTTCACACAGTGGGGAGGGCTTTCTTTTCTTAGCTCCTCTCCTCTCAGGTAGTCCTTGGCACCATCTTCAACCTAAAACTAATCATTTGTTTTTTTGGAGCTTGTTGACTTGCCTTATAGACTACATTCAGGGCAAAAAAAAGTACAGCCTCTCTATGAGGCTGTACTCAGGGTTAGCGACGCTAATGGCATGCTAACAAACATGTGGATATTAAGCAGGAATAACATGTACAATGTCCATGATCTTAACATGTTAGCATAATGCTACTTAGCACTAAACACAAAGTACAACTGAGGCTGATGGGAACGTCTTTAGTTTAGTAACATTTCAATGCAATGTATCGCAAAATTAACCAAAGAAAATGCAATTGTCAATTTTAATAAAATGGTGTATTTATCCAATCGTCATGAAAAAGCTTAACGTGTAATACACATTTAAACATCGACGCTCACACAGCGTTTCTCTACCTCTGTGCATTCAGGCCGAGCTCAGTTAATTTAATTCCCAGCAGGCTTTTCTTCTGCTCTAAATCATCCTTTTCCAATTTCCATGTTTCTAAATGCTGCTAAAAGGTCAGGGAGTTTCTCTCTCTGGATCTCACCGAGTGTGGTGAGCCAAACATTATACATTATACATTTAAATTCCTGCAGCAGCAGCAGCGCTGCGGAGTGGAAGCCCATTAAAAAGCGAGCGGCACAGTGATTTCATGGTCTTGAACATGGTTACAGGAGTCTGTTTAGTTCCATTTATAGTGCAGCCGGTGAGACACTTAATGAAGGGTTGTGTCATAGTAACGATGGGACTAAGTGGTTTGACACATCAGGACGCCTGATAATCACGACCTAGGAAACAAATGTCACTGCATCTGAACACGTCTAGCCACGGCCCCACCTGTGTTTGCTCATGTGTGTGTTTATGTGCGTTTGTACCCGCAGTACCCGCACTTCCTGAAGCGGGACGCCAACAAGCTTCAGATCATGCTGCAGCGACGGAAGCGGTACAAGAACCGGACCATCCTGGGCTACAAGACCTTGGCCCTGGGCCTCATCAACATGGCCGAGGTATCACAATTCGACTCTTTAACAAACGGTGTGACACCAAAAGGCAACATGGAGGTTTGTTTTCTCTTCCGACCTCACTGTTCAGTGGGAAGAGAAAACAAAGGATTTAAGCAGAAACATTCTATAGTTCCAGTAACCTTGAATTATATAGTTTAATATCAACCTTTCGCCTGCATTTGTCCTTGTCCCACTGATCCTACCACATCAAAACAGGAAGTGGTTAAGTAGGGAATCCCGCCTCTTGCCCGTCCTTAAGTCCTTACATTTCATTTAGTTAAAGTCTGTGTAGGAAAGGCTCCTCTTTACAACCGCTCGGCACATTTTTTGCGTACTTCCAGCGCCTCCGCGACAGCAGATGGAGGTTAAGCTGCGTGTTCGAAGGCACGTCGGTGGCGAGTTCTGTCGAGTCAGCGGAGTCTCGTCCTCTTCACCCTCACAAACGTCCCAGCTGATCGGAGCCGTTGACCCAACAAACCACCGGTCAGAGGCTCATTTCCCTAAACATGCAGCCTCTGCCTTCTGCTTCACAATCTCAGCTGGACTTTGTTTCTCGAGGTGTCGTCACAAAGGGATTTCTAACCCGATATCAACACAAGAGACGGTCTCCTCTCATGCAGATCTGTTATTCTATATTCCTCCGGTATCATTCGGGAACTTATTTAGCTCTAACCTTCATTTAACTTTCGTTGAAACTCAATCCAAGCAAGTGCACTTCCAGATAAAACTCAGACTTCGATCTTTGTCTCTCAGAAATGTCGCCATAAATCAAACCCCCCAATAAAATGTTACGCCTCCATCGAAAGCCCCTCGACGTATATGAAACCTTTATAAAAGCTTGTGATTGATGGGGTGTCGTGTCTGTACGTGTGTGTGATTGTCTAGTGGCGCAATTATTTACAGCTTGAAACACCTTGAACAAACCGGCTCACCACGAAATAGACAGAAGAGGACATAAATACAGACTTGATGAAGTACGAGGTTTGGCGTGAGTCTTTTATTAAATGGAAATCAAACCAAATACAACAGTGAAATAAGCTGCTAGACTACACAGATATGGAGATAGTCCTGGTGAACTCTAAGCCAAGGACTGAAATAATGTGTTGCTGCAGTCTTTGGCCCGCTGGCTGCCTCTGCATGTAAAATGAAGTCAAATTTGTATTCATGAAGCTCCTTCCAGCAGACAGGGTGCTTCATAGACGGCAAAGGACACAGACGCAGACTCGTAGGCATGAAAGGTTCAAACTCATTTTCCTTCACAGGCAGAGTGAAAGTCTGACCTCTAGCCAGAGCTCTGTGTGTGTCACAACAATCACATGCTATAGGGGACACACAGTCCCATCACGAGTCACAAGGAAATGTCCCTTTGATGCTGCTCCTTTGATACGACATGTTGTTTCCACTGACTGATGATGAACTGCTGAACCAGGAACGCTTTCGCCTCTAAACTTTATCTCTTACAGAAGTTATTTACCCGCATTTCCTGTGATTATTATCATTTTTATCTGCGACATTCTGAAGTGTAACTACATTTATATTTGGACTGTGGAGGAGTGACGCCGTATACGGCTCCGGTAGCAACCTGTCAATCACTAGATAGCCCCGCCCTAAAGCATACCGAGCAGCAGTGTTTCTTCTTTTAAAGGACACGTCGTGACGCTGGTTTTTACCTTTTATGTGCACCATGAAGTCACCACTAAAGAAACATTTTACAAGAAATAAATGTCGGTGAGATCACATAGAAATGACAGGGTCTACATTTTTTTAAATGAATTTATCGTGTGTGTGCTTTTACGAGGCTTTAATTTGACTAAAACCTTCAAGGATAACAGTGTTGTAACCGCCGTTTTACAACCAATAACAGCCTTTAGTAGCCGGAACATTTCCTCTGCAACGCATTAAAAACTGCTTCCAGAGTCATTGTTTTTAACCAATGCAATTATTGCATTTTCATCGTGCAACATCTTGCATGGTTTGAATTTTTCCTTTTATCTTGCATTCTACTATTATTTTGCTTCCTCAGTTCCACCCGCAGCACATAACGCTGTGTGATAAAAGTATGTTTTTTGAGCCATAATGCGTTTACATGAGTCAATGCAGCATTTTTCAGAAGCTCAACTGGCGTTTCCCAATGAATACGCACATACACACCTCCTCAGATTTCCTCAGGCTTTTAGAGCGCTACCGACGGCATCCGGAGCGTCTGACGCAGGTTAGCTGAACCTCAGCCAGCCGGATGGATGGATGCACAGCAGTCATGTCTCTCTTTAACGTGAGGCTGAGGCTGCCTCCATGACGAGCCGCTCAGACTTCATTAACTCTCCGAGTGTGACCAGACTGCAGAGAGAGAGAGAGAGAGAGAGAGAGAGGGGCTGGATGTCGCTCAGTCAGACACACACACACAGGAGACTCGATGCTGCCGTTTGCTGCAGAGGAATTGTTTGTTATGCCTCGCGTGTTTGTGTTTTCTGTGGCGTCGTCGGTGGCAGCTTCTATTTTTTTGTCCCTCCTTTCTTCTTCAGCCTCCTTTTTTTTCTCCTCGTTCCATTATCCACCTCCTCTCAACATCCTTCTGTCCGTCCTCGTGTGTGTGTGTGTGTGTGTACAGGAGCACCACGAGTAAAATAAGAATATTTCTGGTGGAAGTTTATGCATCTGACTTTCGTTCCTTAAATAAATGTCTTGTTTGCATTTGCATGCTCATATGTTAGCATTCAGATGCTCCTCATTTATGTAAAAGCAACGGGACACGTTCAGAGTTAAGGCTGCCTTTTGCATTCATTTGACTCTGAAATAAAAAAACAAATCTCCGAAAAAGAACATTTTGCCAAAAACAATTTCACTTTGTGCGTCCCCCAAAGCATCATGGGAAGAACACGCGGTCATCTTGTGTGCTTTTTGTAAAAGATGAAGGATGTCTTGATAAATAATAATAAAAAGCTCAGATTTAGTGCAGCTCACTCCGATGTCTGTCTGTCTTCCTGACGTCCAGGTGATGCAGCACCCCAGCGAGGGGGCCCAGGTCCTGGGGCTCCACAGCCAGCTGAAGGACGCCTCGGTGCCCGTCGCCGAGATCCGAGTCTACTCCCTGTCCAGCCAGCCCATCGACCACGAGGGGCCCAAAGCAAAGATGTCTGGTGAGCACGTCGTCTCAACACATCCGTCTCTCTCTCTCTCTGCGCCCTGTCCTCAAATGTCCTCCGTCTCTCCAGATCGCTCTCCGGACATCGACAACTACTCCGAAGAGGAAGAAGAGAGCTACTCGTCGGAACAGGAAGGCAGCGACGACCCCATTCACGGACAGGTGTGTTTGGACCGGAGCAGTGAGACAAGACAGAATAAAGGGGAAAAAGCCCAAATTGGTCACAGCTGCTTTATAATTAGGATCTTTTTTTCACCAAGTCGACTGCTGAGATTTGAGACCACGATGTCAAAACCGCTAAAAAAGAAGCTGATCGGTCACAGACGGGTTTTAAACACACTCACCCATGTTTCTTGCCCTGTTTGACTTTGCTGTAAGATCCCAGACCTCAGCAGTACAATGTCATCAAATAGAAAAATAAGGCCGCTGTTTTTCTTATCGTCAACACTAAGAATACCTCGGTCCTTATCTGCCCTACCTGCCTGTTTGCCTGCTTTCTACTAGTTTTGAAAAGGCTCAATAATCTTTTGAAACAGCTGGGCACTGAAGAGTCTCTCAAACGTGAGTCTAACAAGAGGAAATGGAGCATTTGTTTGGGACTATTTTAAGCTGTGGATTAATAGGGTACATTTGCACTCAGGTTTATCAGGAGCACCCGGACAATGAACTGGATTACAAAGAACACAGAGTGCAACAATGGAGGCTCACACACTGTACTTGTTAGTTCGATCAGTTCATTGTTGCTTTTGGCCTTTTAATGGGATTTGTCGACAGCCTTATGCTTTAAAACCAGAGTTGTAATAACCCGGAGTTAACCTCTCTCTCTCTCTCTGTTGCTCTCCTCCCTCTCTCTGCCTCTCTTCTCCTTTTCTGCCTCTCTCTCTCTCTCTCTCTCTCTCTCTCTCTCAGTATCTATATGACGAAGAAGACGAGGTGAGGAAGAAGAAACCAAGGCGCAAGCTCCCTTCCAATGCCGCCATCACCAGGGTAAGACACTCACCCCTCCCTCCCTCCCTCCCTCCCTCTATCTGTCTGTTTTTCTATCTGGTCGACTTGTTTTGCCTGCAAAGCATTTGCGGCGAGCCCGCTTCATGGAAAAAAAGCCCTTTCAAAGTAAATTTGATGTGACTGGACTCCGCAACCTTCGCCCTCAACTGCCTCCTGCCTCACCTCATTCAACCTCTCCCCCTTATCTGCTCCTCCATCTCCCCCTCCCTCCCTCCTTTCCTCCCTCCCTCCCTTCTTCTCCTTTCATTGGTTTTTCTAAAAATCCATTTTCTCCCTCTCATTCTCGGTACATGTAATTCAGGCCAATTTTCCGGGAGAAAAACATTGCAACAAGCTCCCTCAATAACATTAACCGTGTGTGTGTGTGTGTGTGTGTGTGTGTGTGTGTGTGTGTGTGTGTGTGCGCGCGCACAGCAACAGCAGCCGCAGGGGTTTGTCTCAGCAGGTTATTAATGGAGGTCTCTGTGAGATTGTCACTGCTGCTCCCCAACACCACCGCCTGTGGACAACACACACACACACACACACACAAAATAACCATAATTTCTGCGCTGCTTGAGTTGAATAACACACACATGTTGAACATAAGCACGCACACAAAAGACATTACAACAGCCCCTCTGCCCCGTACTACAGTTTGCAGACACACACACACATCTACATCCCCAGTGTCGAGTATGAAGTCGACGCTCTCCACTTTTCTAGCAGCGAATTAGGACGCGACCTCCAACACACAGCAGCTCTCTAACGCCTCACAGACTTCCACTTACGTTGATGGTGAAAGCTTTGCTCAAAGCTTTTCTCCAAAAACGCCCAGATTTGAACTTGTGTGTCCCCACGCATCCAAATATTGTTGAGCTTCCTCCGGCTGAAAGTTTGTAAAAAGAAAAACTGGAGAGAAATGAGCTTCTGATTACACACCCTTTAAATAAATATAAAGATAAACCCATTTTTAACAATCAAAATGAAAACTGATAATATCTCCACATTAAAGAGGTAATAAAATGACCCCTATTACAATATTTTCGGGTAAAAATGTAAGTAAGCTCCCTCAAAGAAAACCCCGAGCAGTCTCTTTTAATAAGCTGCACATCTCTTTGTTAAATACATAAACAGCCCTTTGTACCCATTCAGGCAAACATCTGCGATGGGAGGCGTCGACTTGACAGCCTCGATAAACACGCACGCTCGCGCCTATTCCAGTTAAATAACCCAGGATGCAATTCACAGAAACATCTGCATCGATAACACTTCTGCTGAGGGCGACATGCAGAAACATGTTGTGGTGGTGTATCCATTAAATCTCTCTCTCTCGCACACACACACACACACACACACATACGAGCATACTGCCTCCTCATGTTCTCCTCTCTCTCTCTCTCTCTCTACACAGCAACCCAACATCAAGCAGAAGTTTGTGGCCTTGCTGAAAAGGTTTAAAGTCACCGATGAGGTACGCGCTTCAGCCTTTTGCCCTCCTGATATCACACTTCCACGCTTCACACGCGCGTGTGTGTGTGTGCGTGTGCGTGCGTGCATGTGTGTGTGTGTGTGTGTGCGTGTGTGTGTGTGTGTGTATTTGCTTCAGAGGTGAAGTCGACATGTATTTCAGTTTTGGCTTTGTGTGGGAGAGATGTGGCAGAACACCTGAGGTTCAGCTGAAACACTAAACACAGAAATGTGTTTACTGTGCTTCATGGCGCTGCTCACACTTCTGCATCTGAGTCTCTCTGTGTGTGTGTGTGTGTGTGTGTGTGTGTGTGTGTTTCTCTTCTCCTAACATTGTTTTGTGGTAGCATGGCTGCTTTTCTTCTGTTTGTCTCTTTTAACCTTTATTTTTGTGGATATATACGTGTTTTTTGTCCTTATTTGTCAGTTTCTTACTGTCATTTATTCTCTAAAATAATGTCTTCTTTAATTTGTCCAGTACGTCTTTCCTTTGTTCTGCCCGTAGCTTCTTAAACATCTGTTTTATTTCTATCATGCTGTTGTATAGGTTTACACAAACGGACTACTCCTCACTTTCCCAAATGTGATGTTTTTGTATGAACACGTATATAAAAATGTACCGTAGATACGTTGATGAATTGCTTTTTCTTTCATGTAGATGAGCTTGTGCCTTTGCGAATAATCCCTCTGAGATAAACAGGTTTTAAATGAAACGCAGTATAATGGATAAAAAAAGCATTGGTACTGGATCTGTAATAGCTCTCTGTGATTGGTCTTCAGAGTTTATGCGTCCTGATGTTTAGTGTCACGGCTTGACGTGTCTCTTAGTCACTCGTGTCCCCCGTGCGCTCTCGTCCAGGTCGGTTTTGGCCTGGAGCACGTGTCCAGGGAGCAGATCCAGGAGGTGGAGGAGGACCTGGACGAGCTCTACGACAGTCTGGAGATGTACAACCCCAGCGACAGCGGGCCGGAGATGGAGGAGACCGACAGCATCCTCAGCACACCCAAACCTAAGCTGAGGTAGCGTCACTAGTCACACACCTACAGAATACTCTCCATTGACATTTCAGAGCGCCCTCTGTTGGTGAGAACTGCTAACATCAGTCATGTATTGAAGTTTATTTGAGGCTTACATGAACCAGAATGGGGTCAGTTAACTTTGAATCCATGCAAATGTGAACCAAAACCTAAAATATGTTGTATAAAAACACATTTAATTCCCAGTAATAACCGCTGTGTCACAGCAGGGGTTTTTATTACTTTAAGTCTGAGCCTCTGAATGAGTCAAAAGTATAAAAACTCTTTGTTATGACCCCCAGAAGGGCTTATTCTTAGGATGTCAATAACAGAACCGAAGAGTAGCAGACAAATCATTTCTTAAATGACTCTTCAAACTTATTTTTAGTCCTTTCTTTTTGAACTCGGCCTCAATTTCTGGGCTCAAAATATAATAAAGTGCTCAAAATAGCACTATTTGATGGTGTCAGCACAATGTAGTGCTATGAAGCCTGCAAAGCAAAAAGGAGCAATATAAATAAATCTGATACGAGTCAAAATGTCATCTGTAAAAAAAGCCCCCAAACACAAGACACAGTCAGTTTTCTTGTGTTTCAGGCCGTTCTTTGAAGGAATGTCTCAGTCCAGCTCCCAGACGGAGATCGGCAGCCTGAACAGCAAAGGCAGTTTGGGTCGAGACACTTTCAGCCCGGTGAGTAGCCGAGGAGCAGCGGCATCAGCAGGAACGTCACTCCTGTGACTGTTTGTTTGGTTTTCCTCCGTCTCATCGGAGCTGACGAGAGTAAATGTGAGCGTCTGACTTCAGGCAACACTTTGTCTTCAGGTAACTCTGGAGCCGGTTCAGCCGCTAAACGGGAAAGAACCCGACAGAAAAACAAAATTGCATTTACGTTAAACCTTTTACAGTTTAGAGTTCATTTACTCATGAATGTTGTCATAACAAGCACACAGTGAGCTTTATTCACTAAGTCCGCTCCCAGTGATTCATTTCACACTCATTGTTTACACGCGGCACTAAATAGCACACAGTCACAGAATAATCGTGTAACAATACACCACGAATTGAAGCGGCATAAGCTCCGAGAACAGCGTGCCACTCCGCATCGACGAGGTAAACATCCAGACTCTGAAGCCAGTGAAAACGGCCCAGCAGGGAGGCAACTGTGCAAATATACAAAAATGTCAGAAACGTTTCCTGAATGGAGCAGAAACCCAGCAGCTCTTTGACGGCTGCCATCTGCTCAATAAAAAGTGTGTTTAAATGGATTTCACTGGATGTTTTCGGCTGCATTCAAACAGCTGCAGTTCCTCTTTTCATGGAAACACTGAAGTAAGCCTTTTGCTGTTGTGACACTTCCTTAAAAGTCTGCTTTTTATTTCTGTTAATGCTCCGCGCGCTAATGAAACTCTGCATAAAGAAGCGGAGAAAAACGAATATCTTTCGGGCATCGCAGCTGCTGCGTTGGATTGTTATGTTGGGATGTTTATTTCTTCCTGTTGCTGCATAATGAACTATGTTGTTCCAGTTTTATTTACTGACTCCGGAGTGTCATTAAGCCTAGTAGACTGACTGCCGCTTCCTTGTCTCACCAGCAGGGGGAGCAGCCTCCTCTGGAGAAGATGAAACAGTCCCGCAGCCGCAACCTGGAGGAGGCCCTGTCTGAGACCGACACACTGGTACGGCTCTTATAGTGTGTGTGTGTGTGTGTGTGTGTGTGTGGGGGAGATGGAATTAATGGTGTGCCGGGATCTTTGTTGATATCACCACGAGGGGGGATTAGCTACCATCTGTGCTGTAAGTGAGACAGATTGAGAGACTCGGGGAGAACAGAGGAAATGGGAGAAACCAAAAAAAAAAAGGGAGGAAGTGTCGGAGAAGATGGCTTTAGGATTGCCTGTATCTCCTTTTTTATGACACTGACAGTCTGTCATTGTGTGTGTGTGTGTGTGTGTGTGTGTGTGTGTGTGTGTGTGTGTGTGTGTGTGTGTGTGTGTGCGTGCATGTGCATGTAGGAGCTAACAGATCAGGAGCTGTTTGCTGAGGTGGGCCCCTGCATCACGGTGTCCGTGGCAGAGAAACCCCGTACACCCATGAAGAGCAGCAAAAGTGAAATCCAGGCCATGCCTTCGCCGAGGTAACGAAACACCCCAAATCACAATAAAAAACAAAACACATCGACTATTTTGTTCAAACCTAATATCGTCGTGTTTTAGTAGAGGTATCAAATGAATCCAACACAGTGAGCGTCTCAGAAGATGTAATTATTGTGTCGCCTCCTCTCTGCATCCAACACTGGATATTTAGGAGATACGTGATGTTCCTTTGTCTCCCCCCCCCCCAAGGTTGGACGGAGGCCACACACCCAGACAGAAGCGCATCAGCACCCCCATGAAGGAGCGACAGCTGTCCAAACCTTTGAGCGAGCGCACCAACAGCTCAGACTCGGAGAGATCCCCGGAGCTGGGCCACAGCACGCCGGTGAGTGAGCGTCCTTTTGGGATCATATCACAAGCTGCGGCTCCATTTCAGCCTCGCACACAGACATAAATCCTCATGTTGCAGTGAAGGGATTCACACTTTAAATGAATAAATAAAGAAAACAGCTGTCTTTGTTCTGTGGCCTCCTCTACTCGCTCCCTTCTGGTCCTTTCCCAAAGTAAAGAACACAAATGCACCCTGACGATCTATGACTCGCCTGGAGCTCAGAAATGAATTATGTATGTGCTGATGAGTCATCTGAAGAGTAAATGTGTTGCTGTAGGGGGGGTTATGTACTGAGCGTGTGTGTGTGTGTGTGTGTGTGTGTGTGTGTGTGTGTGTAGCTCCTGAGGAAGGTCGTGTACGACCAGCTGAACCAGATTTTATTGTCGGACTCTGCGCTGCCTGAGAGCCTCATCTTGGTCAACGTCAGCGACTGGCAGGGGCAGGTGAGTGTGTGTGTGAGTGTGTGTGTGTGTGTGTGAAGCATTTCTCCAACGACATCTGGTGGGCGCTTTTCTTTTTTCATCGTGCACGCTTCACCTTTCGTGTTGCAGTACGTCGCAGAGCAGCTGCAGGTGCAGAGACACCCGGTGGTCTGCACGTGTTCGTCGGCTGAAATCCAGGCGGTGCTGTCGGCTGTGCTCACCCGCATCCAGAAGTTGTGAGTCTTTTGTGATTCTCTCACACACACACACACACACACACACTATCTGAGTTATAGCCTCCTTTGGTTTGCAGGATGACTCATTTGTCTTTTCTTCTTCTCTAAAGCCTTATTTCTCTGTCCTCTGTTCGACCCTCTTCTCTTCTTCTCCTGCGTCCCCCACATCTCTCCCTCCTCCTCGTCGTTGCCCTTATCTATCACTTCACTTTATGCCAAAACAATGCTTTTTATATCTCCCTTATATCTTCCCTTTTTTCTCCTCCTATCCCTGTTTTGTCTCTCTCCATCCCGTCACCCTCTGTCGCTCTTACGATAGTTAGTTTACTTGCAGTGGACTTCACCGAAGCATCTAAAGGGAAATAGGGGATACAAATACATTCATGTCAGAGGCTCCATTTGTTTTGGGTTGTATACAGAAAAGTGTGTTTTTCATGATCGGTCATAAAACCTGGAACTCTTATCAAGAAAAAATGCTAAATGCTCACAATTACCAGCATCTCACATGTAAGGATTTTTAGATGAAGTGATTCAGTATAAATACCTCTGTTTTGACGTCTAGGTGTCAGTTGTTACACATACATCCCCCTGAGGGATTCCATGACTTCATATATGTGTATATATATATGTATTTGATGGATGTGACAGTGTGGTGGATCTACCTCCAACACAGCACTGATAACCCCCCCTCTCTCTCTGTCTGCAGCTGTAACTGTAACTCGTCCATGCCCAGAGCGGTGAAGGTGGCGGCGGTGGGCAGCCAGAGTTACCTCGGAGCCATCCTGCAGTTCTTTGTCACTCAGCTCGCCAACAAAACGTCCGACTGGCTCAACCACATGCGCTTCCTGGTTGTGCCTCTGGGTAAGAGGGTCTCTCCTGCAGAGTCATGCTGCAGCGAGGTTTTTATCACTTTGCGGGGGAAACCGTCTGAGAAGTGACAAACCTACTGTTCTTTTTATTTTCCAGACATCCATTGCACACAGTCACTGGTATCTTGAAAGATGCACTGTGGCGCTACAGCTACATCTCATAAAGAGCTGACGATGTCTCTTTTTCGTTGTTGCTCAACTCCTTCCTCTTTCCTTCCCTTCCCTCCGTCCTCTTCATCAGGCTCCCACCCGGTGGCCAAGCACCTCGGCGCCCTCGATAACCGCTACAGCTCCTCCTTCCTGGACGGGGCGTGGAGAGACGTGTTCAGCCGCTCCGAGCCGCCGCAGACAGGTACCCCCCCCACTCACCCCCCCAGTCGCTTCAGATAAACACATGCAGCCTCAACAGCTGACACAAACACTCATTTGTTTTCCCTCCCCCGTCACCTCCAGATCAGTTGGATGTCGCGGCAAGAATCTCCCAGTACATCAGCGGAGCCACGGTCACGCACCAGCTGCCCATCGCCGAGGCCATGCTCACCTGCAAACACAGGACGTGAGTACAGACGCCACTTAAACACACAAGTTACTCTGTGTGTGTGTTTACTCTGATCTCTGCTCTTTCTGTCCCGCTCAGGCGAGATGAAGACTCCTACCAGAAGTTCATTCCGTTCATAGGGGTACGATTTCACTCCTGTTGCAGTAGGTTACCAATAAAAGTCTAAAATGATAGATTATTGATGATCATTTTCATATTCTGCTTGTTTTCCAGGTGGTGAAGGTTGGTCTTATCGAGTCGGGTCCTTCTCCAACAGGTGAGTGTTTGCAAACAGTTTGGACGGACGCCACAACCTCATTATTGCTGCTGCCGATGCGACAATGTTCATTTTTGTTTGGTGTTTTTTTTTTAAGGAGACAACGAAGAGGGCGTAGCGGTGAGCTTGGCTGTCCCCTCCACGTCTCCCCCCTCCCACGGCTCCCCCACGGGGATGATTAAAGAGGCAGCCACGCCTCCCTCCTCCCCCTCCCTGGGCAGCGTCCTGACGGTACAAGGGTAAGACTCGCTTCCTCCCTTCTTTCTCTTCCTGTCTAAGATGTTGATGCTACCGAACAGAGAGCCAGCCTGCCTACTTAAGACGGAAGAAGAAATGGAGACTGTGGTTTCTGTCCACAGGAGTCCCAGCATGTCTCACGGCGTGGACGCCATAGGCCTGCAGGTCGACTACTGGCTGGCCTCTCTGGCTGAGAAGCGGCGGGAGGGCGAGCGGCGCGACACGGGCGGCAAGAACACGCTGAAGAGCGCCTTCCGCTCGCTGCAGGTCAGCCGGCTACCAGGAGAGGGCAGCAGCGAGCCACAGGCCCAGGTCAGCACCATGGCCATGACCGTGGTCACCAAGGAGAAGAACAAGAAGGGTGAGATCGAAAGAGTGCAAATCATCAGATAGGGAGATGTTAGAGAAATGGTCTAGGTCCAAGCACGTAATCATATGAACACACACATAACAATCCCTCTCCCTGCCTCTCTTCAGTTCCCACCATCTTCCTGGGGAAGAAGCCAAAGGACAAGGATGTAGACTCCAAGAGCCAGGTCATTGAGGGCATCAGCCGACTCATCTGCTCTGCCAAGCAGCAACAGACCATCCTGAAAGGTGACCTGGAGGATCAGGACGGTCCCGTACCTCCATGTCCTTAAAGCTTTGTTTTTGCGTGGCACTGTAGTGGTTTTTTCTCTTCTTGTATTACTTTTATTTCATTAGTCTGTTATTCAGCTGATGTTTTTAAGTGTGTTGCTTCCGTTTCCTTCCAGTGTCCATCGACGGCGTGGAGTGGAACGAGGTGAAGTTCTTCCAGCTGGCCGCCCAGTGGCCCACTCACGTCAAGTACCTGCCTGTCGGACTCTACGGCTACAGCAAGCCGCCCTCCTAGGGGTGAGCGCCAGCCGACTCCTCTGACCCCCGACTGGACCATCGACTCTCCCGATCCCGTTAAGACCTCCGCCTCACAGCACCTGCAGATGTGAGGGAAGACGTCGGGGGGGCTGGACTTTCTTCCTTTCTTTAGTTTCATGCAGGCTACAGTCGTCTTGTTTCTCTTTGGAGAGGAGGAGGAGGAGGAGGGTGGTGTTGTTACTAGTCACTTTAATGCCCCTTTTAGTGTGTGTTTATGTGTGTGTGACGAGTGTGCATGCACACGTGAATGTACAGTGTGTGTGTGTGTGTGTGTGTGTGTGTGTGTGTGTGTGTGTGTTTACAAGGGGCCCACAGCACAAGTTTATTAGCTAACTGCCATTTACGTTTCCGTTCTAAGGAATGCAATAGCATGCAACGACTCACCGATTTTCAAGCTCTTAAAGTCTGACCCTCGACCCCTCCGAGGTCCCGCCCACCTCGAGACCTGATTCCCCCCCCCCGCGCGCATACGCTCCGGACTTACAGATCCACCACTCATGTGCCAGACAACGGTAACTCAAAATACAAAAAAGTAACACACACAGGGCTTCATGTTTGCATGAGCCGGTGGAAACAGAGAAAAGTCACAATACGCAGTCAAATAAAAGCATGTGATGATTTTCTGCTCCACACATCAACAACACAGGCCCGTTGTTTTAGTTTTTATTTCAAGGGCTTCCATATGATTTAAAATATTTTCTCTGTACCAAAACCAGTCATTTGGATGTCTAATGCCAAATGATTCTTTTCAACAAAAAAAAGAAAGAAAATATATTAAAAGGAAGTGTCTGTTTTTTAAATTGTGCTCTTGTGAAGAGCCTTCCCGTTAACGCTGTTGTGTGACGCATAGTGTTCATTTCTGTGAAGAGTTCCAGGATTGCAGTGCGGGGCCGACTGTGACGTGCAGTGTTGTGTATCTTCTTATTTGCTATGCCTTACGAAGACACATCTGGGTGTTTGCAGAGAGTCCAGCTGGTAATAATATGAATAACCCAAGCAAATATGCAACCACAAGCTTAAACCACGATATGCATATTTAGTCCAAAACTTGGCAGCGTTGATGGGAATATGGTGGATAGACTTTGCTGTATCTGCACCGCAAAGATGGGATTCAAACACCTGCAATAAAGCACAATGTTGTGAGCCAGTCCCCCCCTAATAACCCGTTCTTTATTGGCTACAGACCGGCATCTTTCTCTGCATTGAAAACAGCCGACCTGGTCAAAAAAAGAATTGTTTTTTTTAAGCATTTTCATTAAGAAAATGAAGTGTTTGGGTTGACGTCAGTCATTTTGGCACAAGTCCTCTCCATGCTTTCTCTAGGGTGTCGTGAGGTGACTAGTGAGTGTACAGTAACTGGTAACAACTGTGTGTGTGTGTGTGTGTGTGTGTGTGTGTGTGTGTGTGTGCGCGCGCGTCTGCGCGTGTGTGTGTGTGTGCGCGCGCGTCTGCGCGTGTGTGTGTGTGTGTGTGTGTGTGTGCGCGCGTCTGCGCGTGCGTGTGTGTGTGTGTGTGTGTGTGTGTGTGGTGAAATCAATGTAATGTGGTCTCAGAAACTTTGAAAACAAAAAAAATCACTAAATAGGAGGAATACTTTTTCTACCATGCGACAGAGGGCATGCAAATGGTGCGTGTGTGTGTGTGCGTGTGTGTGTGTGTGCGTGTGTGTGTGTGTGAGAGATGTGTTGACACTGTGTTGATGACGTGGTCGTTATCAATATCATTGATTATCAGATTACGGCTGCACAAGCTGCAGTGGTCGTCCCGTTTACTTTGTAGTCTGGCACAAGGCGAATGCAGATATTCTTTCCACGCTAAAACACTTTGACAACAAACAAAATTAACAAAATAAAAGTTTTATTGAAGAAAGTAGCTTGAAATTCAACTTTTAATGCAAATCCAATGAAATGATCTGCAGCAGATGTTCATAACAGCTGTTCTGAAGCTGCCTTGTGTCGCCTACATCGTAACACATCTCCACCTCCAGTAAAGTATTAGAAAACAAGCTTTTATTTTTGAAATAGTGTTAATGCCAATGTCTTGATTTAACTGCTGTCTTTATTGGGCTTTTCTTTTTCTTTTTTCTGTGTCTAAACGACAGTTGTGTTACAACTCGGCTAACCGTTCACCTGTTACACTGGAGGTTTCACACTGAAGGGTTTGGTCCACAGCTCGTCCGTCACCGCTGAACAAGCGCTCGGTTTGATGTCGATTAGAAGTTCTTCCAAATGTCTGAATGTATTGAATTTAGTTTACATTTTGAGGCACAGGTAGACGCGTCACTCCGATATATAATCATTTTGTGTCATGTGGCCTAAAGCAGACTTTAGGAAGGAGACGTTCCAAGAAACTTTACTAAAAAAGTACAATCATCTTGGTGCCACTTCAAAATACTTAGAAAGGGTTCATAATTTAACACTAATGCCAATTATTCCTTTGGTTAGTATATCAATATAAAAACAATATGGTTCTTAAAGCTGCACTTCTCTCAGGAGTTGGTGGAGACTCTAACTGAGCTAAAATGAGTGAATATTGATCTGAAACACAAAACCTAATGAATGATAGTTTTCCAAATTGTTTACCGATAATAAAATGACAATATATGTCAATGCTGTTTGTTTCTGCTGCCCCCAAGTGGCCAAAGAAATAACAAATAATCCGGCTTCAGGTTGAAATTTAGCAGTCATTTTATGCATTGTGATCGCTTCCTGCTGATGTGTTTTAACCTTTCAATGAAGTCATTAGTGACAACTCGGAAAGCTTTTTTAAAGAAGGCTTTATTATAAAAGGTACCGTGTTTTTAAATTTGAAAAAATGTATGTATCTGCCGTTAGAGACAACCTCTAGTGAATAAAAAAAAAAAGCTCTTTGCCTTGTAGTAACGTTTAATTATTGCTATGATGTGAAAGAGGCATTACAAACAATATCACTGCCAAAACTATCAGAAGTGTAGATTTTATTCAGATAGATTTGTGGGTTGAGGGGTTGCTGATACTACAAAACTCATCAACAACAAAGTGATCCTTGTTCTGAAGTCATCGTTTCAATGTGTTGGAGGAACTTCACCTTCACCTTTTATCAGCCGTCTTTCCCGTCTCTCTTCCAGTTTACACGTTTTCCTAACGTCTCTGGTTGTGTGTTGAACTCGTTTCCGGTGTGTTTTCACCTGGACCTCCGTTCCCGTGCTTGTGACGGTGTAGCGATGGTTCCTCTGTCCTCGTTTAGAGATCAGGACCTGTTTGGTCCATCAATAATCTCCTGTCAGCGATCAGCAGTGTCTTTTCTCTCCACCTTCCTCAGATATACCTCTGATGATGAGTCTTCTTCACCAGGCTTCCACCAGCTTAGCTTTCTAACGTCACGTGAAGCGATGTTGTCCCCCTTCACTAACAGCTTGTACATGTTGCCTGTGATCGCTGTGATAGACCTCTGCTCCGCGCAGAGCGTCCTCAGCTTGTGGACTGCGTGGAGAGTATTTTGCACACGCCATTGTTTCTTCAGCTTGTTTGCCTTTTGCCTATAACGATAACTATAACAAACTATAATGCTTGTACATATCAGATAGTACTTGTTATATTGTATTCTAGTTCTGGTTTTCTTAATTTGAAGTGTTTTGTATAGTACTGCTTTTTCATGATTACGTTTGTCAATCAAACAGATGTGGGATGAAACGTGTTCATTGTTTCATTTGTTTTTTTTAAATAAAAATATTCCTGATTTGTAGCTCAGTCTCTTGTATTTTTTTTTTTTTATAAATAAACATCTTTTGTAGCTTATATAGCTTCTTTATACTTACTATGAATGGTGGTAAGATTGCAGTTTAAAACACTAATTTAATGATGAGTGTTTTCCAAATAAAGATGACCAAAAAAAAGTCATGGAACAAATGGGTTGCAAGGAGAATACAAGCTTGTAAACCTGCAGTAAAACATCACAGACAACATATAATCCTACATAGTTTATTATGCAGCACCAACAATACATTGATTTTATCGCAATTGCACCAAATAGTGATACTAGTGATACTTAGAGAGATTACATGAATAAAAGTGCTTTTTAATTGAGAATCAACCAGTATGATAGGTCACCATTGTATGATGTAAAATGTGTAAATAAATAGTGCACATGGTGCGTGTTTAGCAGGTCACTTATGCCCTTTTTGGTCTCTTTGGATGGGCCCTCCACTGACTTCAGAATACAAAGAGTGTGAGCACAGCAAGAAACTACACTTCAACCTACTTCCTGTTATGTAAAAAACACCAGTTTAGTTATTTAGTTAGTTTTAATGTACTTGTTGACCATTAGTGACAACATTATTTTCAATTACAAATCAACCAGCTAACATCCTTTAAAAAAATCACCTTTAAAATTGGAGATAGGGCTGATGGAAGATACAAGTCAAGCAAAGGCTAGACGGGAGCAGCACTTTAGGCTATACGCATGCGCAAGATAATTTCCCGCCCCGCTTGGAAAATGGCCAACCCGATTCATCTTGATATTTCGCTTCACCTTTGGTTGTTGGATTCTGGGAGAACAGCCATTTTTCGTCTCCCATTTCAAAAAATTTGAATCACATATACGATAACATCACTTTTTTATTACTGAATAAACATTTCTGAGAGGATGACCGGTCAGTAACGCCACATTTAAGCGTATTTCTGCTGGTCTCAATTGTCAAGTGACAGTCTGGGTAAGGCAGACGGTGAGGCAGACGGTAGTTACCGTAAGTACCGTTATAGGAGCACGCCAAGTCTGCTGTTAGCTAACTGTTTGTAATCGTATTAAACTAAACTGAATGATGTGGGAGCTATTTCGGTGTGCACGTGAGGAGTGTGAAACGAACAGGACAGGTAACGGTAACCCAGCTGACGTTAGTAGCTGCCTTCAAAGTAAAGTCAGAGCTAACGTTGATTTCGGCTAATGGTTAGCCGTTAGCGTACCGCTACTTAACTACTAACTGGCGTTAGCATCCTTTGCTTTGCTAAACGACGGCTTTTTCAAACGTGCTTTCGTTTGATAGTGTAATTTCCTACGTCTCTGATAACCTGCTTTGTCGTGTTTTGCAGCCTATATCGTCCTACTTTACGGACTATAACCGGAAGCTATCCTTTATTTTGAAAACTACATCCGGAAGCTGTTTTGTTTTGCATGAAGGCTCGCGGACTTAACGCTGGTCTGTCTTCTGGAGCATCACAACATTGTCCTGCCGCTTTGTTCGAGGGACAGAAAAGCATCACACTTGTCTTCGATGAAGGTAAATATACGGATAAATAATATTTAAATGAGCATGAAGACACAGATGCATAGTTAAAATTGATAAGATCAGTGTTCTCTATTGTGGGTCACCTTGATTGATATGCTGCCAACCCAAACACTGCAGGCCTCGACCATCCACCGGCTCATTTATTTATTTGTGGCCTAAAATAGTCCCATTAAATATGCCTGGATAAGTGATAATATGAATTTCTGGATGCTTTTATTTTGAACGTTTTTCGGCTATCCTTCTCTGCATTAGCTGCATTTAAAGGGAAGTTTAAATAATAATGGTGCATTGCAGTCTGTGTGTGAGGTGGATGGGAGGAGGAGGGGGGAGGATGGGGGAGAGAGAGAGGGAGGGAGATAGATAGAGGGTGAGGGAGAGAGAGGGAGGGAGCAGGAGAGGGAGAGGGAGAGAGAGAGAGAGAACAGGTGCGCCTCCACCATCAAAGCAGGAGAAGAGAGAAAGTCACGATGTTGCACAATCGGCTCCTCTGTCCTGCTGCTGCAACGGTTTCCTTTACAGCTGCTCAGTGTTGAGGCAGGAAGTGACTATTTACTGAGCCGGGCTCTGTCTACTACTGTGAGATCTATGTTGACGTACTGATATGGAACCAAGCATCATATACAGCTCGAATGTTGTCTTTTCCTAAAGGTGACACCAGGAATGAATGATGTATTTATCTGTGAGCTCTGGCTGAAGATATTAACAGTGAAGATTAATTAATAAAGAAAATAATCATTAGTTTTTAGCACTAATTAGATGCTCAGTATTAAGGTACTGAGTCAGTGTGTTCAGACTTAGTCCAGTCTCTTGTTATTAGCATGAACATTAATCGTTTATCATAAACACGAAACATCAACATTTATTCATTAGAATGCTTTAAATTGTGTCATTAAAAAACGTTGACTGTGATGTTTTGATTTAGTCGTCATCGCCTCACTCTGAATCTTCCTTCCTCTGAGCAGCAGCTCTGTCCAGTGACAGCGTCTCATTTGAATTGGCTTTACTGGCTGCTGCTGTGTCAGGTTCAAGCTCGGAGGAATCCTCTTGTAGTAATCTGAATGTGTTTTACATGTACTATACACACACACACAGGTTATCACTTCTTTTCCCCCGCAGTGTGTATGAAACCAGGCAATGTCCGCTATGGTGTACCCACGTGAAGAAGCCCTGGAGCGCCTGAGTCAGGATGAGATCGTCCTCAACACGAAGGCCGTGGTGCAGGGCCTGGAGACGCTGCGCGGCGAACACGCCCAGCTCCTCAACTCGCTGCTGGACTGCACCCAGCCACCCGCCGCACAGGAGAAATCAGGGCTGCTTCGCAAGAGCATGGAGGCCATCGAGCTGGGCCTGGGAGAGGCACAGGTGAGAGTGTATGGGATGCTTTTAAGGAGACAAACATATCTTAACAATTTCATTTCAAGATCCATTTCCCCTTTTCGCCTCCCCCAGGTGATCATCGCCCTGTCGAGCCACCTGAGCGCCGTGGAGTCGGAGAAGCAGAAGCTGCGCGCTCAGGTGCGCCGGCTCTGCCAGGAGAACCAGTGGCTGCGGGACGAGCTGGCGGGAACGCAGCACAAGCTGCAGCGCAGCGAGCAGAGCGTCGCCCAGCTGGAGGAGGAGAAGAAGCACCTGGAGTTCATGAACCAGATCAAGAAGTTCGACGACGACGTCTCGCCCTCGGAGGAGAAGAACCAGAGCTCCGGGGGCGGCGGAGGAGGAGACACTTCAAAGGACAGTCTGGATGACTTGTTCCCCAACGATGATGACCAGGGACCAGGTATGACGTCAGCAGCAGTTAGACCACAAACAGGCCTGGTAATGGATCTGTGTCAACAAAGTGAAGTTAAATTGCAGATATAAAAAAGTCACTTAAGCGATGCTTTATACAGCATGTTCAGCTCTCCTCCCCATTAGACAGTAAGTGCTCTTACTTGCCTTCAATAATTAATATCCTCCTCCTCTGTCCCACAGCCCAGCCCAGCGGAGAGGTAGCCGCCCAGCAGGGGGGCTACGAGATCCCGGCCCGCCTCAGGACGCTCCACAACCTGGTGATCCAGTACGCCTCCCAGGGCCGCTATGAGGTGGCGGTGCCGCTGTGCAAACAGGCCCTGGAGGACCTGGAGAAGACGTCCGGACACGACCACCCGGACGTGGCCACCATGCTCAACATCCTGGCCCTGGTGTACAGGTGGGGAACGGAGACGAGGGTTTCTAGATGAACATTTAAAATCTATTTTTACGGATTTTTAACAAAATGCTGCGTTTGCGTTTTTGTCCTCCAGGGATCAGAACAAGTACAAAGAAGCGGCTCACCTCCTGAATGACGCGCTGGCCATCAGAGAGAAGACCCTGGGGAAGGATCACCCGGCTGTGGCCGCGACCCTCAACAACCTGGCTGTCCTGTACGGCAAGAGGGGCAAGTACAAGGAGGCGGAGCCTCTCTGCAAGAGAGCGCTGGAGATCAGAGAGAAGGTAAAAACACACACCACCAAGTCTTCATTCATTACAACCAAGTCTCCTATCTAAAGGAAGGATACACGATTCTAAATCTGCCTCCAGGTGTTGGGGAAGTACCACCCGGATGTAGCCAAGCAGCTGAACAACTTGGCCCTGCTGTGTCAGAACCAGGGCAAGTACGACGAGGTGGAGTACTACTACAGACGGGCCCTGGAGATCTACGAGTCCAAGCTGGGAGCCGATGACCCCAACGTGGCCAAGACCAAAAACAACCTGGTGGGGGGGACGGACGTCATTAAGACATAATTAACAAATATAGTCTTTACTTGTTTCCTGCTCTTCTGTCAGCTCCTCTCATCCTGTGATTACGTGTTGCTTCTCCTCAGGCCACGTGCTACCTGAAGCAGGGGAAGTTCAAAGATGCGGAGTCTCTGTACAAAGAGATCCTGACCAGGGCACACGAGAAGGAGTTTGGATCCGTCAACAGTGAGTAGAGTCAAGAAAGGACTTTGTTACGGACTAAAAGAAAAGATTTAAGTCATAAAAACTATGAGAGACATTTTTAGTTCCTCCGACAACTGCCGTGTGTTTTTGATTCGGCCACGCCCCCGATCCCTCCCGTCCTCCCTCCGTCCTCTCAGCAGATCAGAGGATTATTTAGTGCTGTCTGAGCATGCGGAGCGGCTCAATGTTGATGTTTCCCTCCCGCTGCTGCTAAGCCTATCAAACCCTGATGTGCTCACATGCCCGGCACGAGACGGAGGGCCTCGGCAGGAATGTGGCTTCGCCCCGGCTCCAGGGATGCTTGTTAGCAAGTTTCAGTGCAGTCGTCCACTCTCACTATTGTTCATCTGAAGCATTTATATGATTTCTTTTGTTGCAGATGACAACAAGCCAATCTGGATGCATGCAGAGGAGAGAGAGGAGAGCAAGGTGAGTCATTCAGGTTGAGCTCTGTTCATTGCTGCTGTTGGCGGCGCAGCTTATTATGGAAATGGCTGATGGAGAGCAGCAGGCTGTACAAATGACAACAAGGGCATTTTTAATGGGCTGTTTAATATGGTAATGGTTGATGCTTGGCTCCTCATGCTCCCTCTCTTTCCTCTCTCTGTCTCTCTTAAGGGTAAGCGCAGGGACTCTGGCCCGTATGTGGAGTATGGAAGCTGGTACAAGGCCTGCAAAGTGGACAGGTGGGTGAGACGTGTGAATTCACTGGAATCAATGTTATATGAGACATACCTTATTTTAACATCTGGTTACACACGTTTTAAATAGTAAATAAAAACATTTTTTTTGTGTGTTTTTTTTTTTTTTTCTTGCAGCCCCACAGTGAACACGACCCTCAAGAGCCTGGGAGCTTTGTACCGTCGCCAGGGCAAACTAGAGGCCGCAGAAACACTGGAAGAGGTCGCCACCAAGTCCCGTAAACAGGTGCTGCACAAAACACTGAATCACTGAATTACTGCCGTTAGATTAGTCGTCTGGGCTCAACCGCTCGGTCAGTCTACAAGCCTGATTAGCTCAGCGGGCCTTCCAGCGATTTATTAGCCGTGTGTGTGTGTGTGTGTGTGTGTGTGTGTGTGTGTGTGTGTGTGTGCTGAGTGAGCTATTGTGGAAAAGCAGTTATTTTCCTTTTAATCACTCTTCTACAATCTTTGTTTTTCTTTGTGTGTCCTCTCTTTCTCTCTCTTCTCTCTCTTTCTGTCTCTGTCGCTCTCTCTTCCTTTTCGCTCTCTGTCTCTCTCTCCCCCTCCCTCTCCTCTCTCAGGGTATTGATGCCATCAACCAGAGTAAGGTGGTGGAGCTGCTGAAGGACGGGGGAGCCGGAGGGGGAGACAGACGACACAGTAGGGAGGGAAACAACGGGCCGGGTGGACAGCGGGGGGAGAGCGAGGGCGACGACTCCGCTGAGTGGAACGGGGTCAGTAAACGGACACCAATTCATTACACCACTAAGTATACACTGGAAGTATTAATCATAGTTCGTGTACATGATGCAAGGTAAATACAGCTGTGCACACAAGGCAGTTAAAGTCATTTTAATCTCTCGTGCCTCGTAAACAGGACATCTTTAGTATTTAATGTCTCCAGTAAATGCTGACTTGTTGTGTTCCATGTTTCCTCAGGACGGTAACGGGTCTCTGCGTCGCAGCGGCTCCTTCGGGAAGATTCGTGACGCCCTGAGGAGGAGCAGCGAGATGCTGGTGAAGAAGCTGCAGGGGAGCGGACCACAAGAGCCCCGCAACCCAGGGTTAGAGATGTGTGTGTGTATGTCTGTGTGTGTGTGAGTGTAAGCTTTCATGGAGATATGATTGTTGTTAGTCTGGCTTTAGGTGTAGGGCTAATGAATGATTTTTCTATTAGTTTAATATTTGGCATTCTTGCTTGATAAATGAGGATTGATTATTAACATTCTTGTCAATACACTTTTTTGTAGTAAGTGAATTAATTAAACGATAATGTTTTGGTAAAAGTCATGCGTTTTATTTTGAAATCGATTATGGATGTCCCTTACAAGCTTCCATACTTTTTCATCCTTAAAGTTCCAGTGAAACATAAATATAATAATCGTAGTATGAGGTATTTCTGAATGAGGTTTAATTACAACCGGAATTTAAATGTTAGTTGGTCATATTTTATTTGATAAATATATGTATAAGCCTTGTGTTTGAGATTAGTCCTAATGTGTTTTTATATATATATATTATGCTTTTAATGAGTTTTTAAAGGCTCATTGTTTGATTGTTTTGTTTTGCTCAGAATGAAGAGAGCAAGCTCCCTCAACTTCCTCAACAAGAGCACTGAGGAGACCACACAGGTATTAGTATTATGTATTTAATACTCCTCTACAGCAGAGCACACGATTTAACTAGGTCTGTGCAGTCTGAATAACATTTCCATGTTTCAATGTATTTCCAAAACGTACATTCTTTAAACTGTTTAAAGATGAAACAACTACATGAGAATATAGTAGTTCTATAAAACAGTAGTTTTAACATGAATTGATCTGTTCTTAGGACGTGAACTCCGGCCTCTCGGACTGCAGAGGACTAAGCGCCAGCAACGTGGACCTATCCAGACGCAGCTCCCTGATTGGCTAGTCAGAGACAGGAGGCGGGACTCAGGCGACAGAAAGCGGCCCGGGCGAAGGAGAGGCTGTTTGCAGCTTGGTTTGATCCAACAAACGCACTTAAAAGCTCAAAGCGAGATCGACCGCTTGCACCTGCAGCATATTTTTGAAAGAAAGCATCGCCACTCTAAACGCCGTCCCGTCAGACACCCCCGCTGTACAAACCGCTGCAACCCATCACAAAAGAGAATATTTAGATACACATTAATCAGCATGCTGCTTACTAGAACGTGGGATGTCTGCACCTGAACGCCTCGCGGTTTTTGACTCGTAGCACCGCGCCGTAGCCTCATCGCAAGTAGTCCGTTCCTCAGATCTCCACCACGTGCAGACACTCGACCGTACGTAGGCTAAATGTACTCCGGTTTCCCTTCAGAGAGAAGCTTCGCACTCCGTGTATTTCACCCGTAGCATGAAGTATTTTGCCGATGCCGAGCGCCCGTAGAAATGGTACGATCCGCTTTGATTTTAACGGGCAGAGCAGAGGCATAGAAGAGAACACGAGCAATCTCTGGGGATCTTCAAGAAGACATAAGCACTAACCATTTAAACCTCACTTTTTTGCCTTCTTCTTTTTTATGTATATACAGTTTTAAATTATTCGATATTTCATTCTTTGTATATAGAGCACTTTCTTCTTTTCTGTTTACACTATTGGGTTTAAGAAGGTCTCAGTAGAACATACTGCTTATCTGAAGGGGGGGAGGACGGGACAAGAAGGAAAGGAAGAGAGGGAGTGAAAGAAGGAAAGGAAGAGAGGCAGTGAAAGAAGGACAGAAGGAAAGGAGATATTGAAATGGGCACGTAGCTCATCGTGTCAGTAAAAAGGTCGAGCTTGCTGATACATTTAGTACCTCGATCACTGAACTCTGCTGTCATTCGGACCAATGGTTCAGTCTAAAATGTTCTAAAGCACTTTGAATGCACCGGTGACACAAACGTCAGGAGAATATCTTTCAAATGAAAGGGCCAGAAAGTTTATATGAAATTTACAAATGAACCTCAATCATTTTCAAACCCTACTAAATACTACCTACTGTATGTGGTACGACAGGAAGTTAAATCAAACGCAGTAATCATTACCTGTTTCCTCACTTCCAGGCTTACGGCCATAAGTCTGAATATGAAGGTAAAACGCTGTGAAAGAGATTTAAATACTGTTTGTTTACAATCATTAAATCAGGATATTCAGAGCATCATCAGCACTCATTAAAGAATATGAGTCACTATATCTTATCGAGGCCGACGCAGCGCGTCAGCTACAACGTGTTTACTTTCATCAACGGGATTTTTCTCTTGTGAATTCGTTTTTTTCCTTCATTTACTGCTGAACGTGTAACATTTTGTATGAAACAATCCTCAGCGTGACGTTTGTAACGCTGAGCAGGACGGACTTCATCAGCTGTGATCAGACATCCGACTGTTGACCGTCCGTCCTCACTGACTTTTCTTTGTTTTTGATGCGTTTCTTTTTTTCCTGAGCTTTTATGTTGAAAGTACCGATTATGTGTGTTTATGTTAGATGTGGATTTTGGGATCTGGTGACATTTACACTGGATTTTCTTTTCTTTGTTGTGCTGTTTGCAAACTCCACCAAAATATGAACCGGTACCAAGAGAACTGTCCACAGAATGTACATCAAGTCAAAAAACGAGCTCGGCGAGTCGTGACATCACTTCCTCGTCTGTCATCAGATTGTCAAGGAATCGCTTTCGAAATACAAGAAAGCCGAAAAAAAAGAAAGCGTTTTGTTCTTGACAAGCTGAGTTTGATTTCAAAGAGAGGAAGACGCAGGTTTGTTGTGAAGGTGTTTTGTCCACGGCGGTGCGTGCACACCGTCGCCATTACGCCCCAAAAGACCTGAAGTCAACCTTCTGATGAAATCAACCTTTGGATGAGGTCACGCTGCCGAGTCTAAACTAGTGCTAACTGTTCTATCAGCTGCTGAATGTGCGAGGCGGAGCAGGTTTGGGAGGAGGAGGAGGAGGAGGAGGAGGAGTGAAGTGCATTACTAAAGAAATAATGAGAGGTGTTTTTGGAAAGAAGTGCTTTAATTGTCGTTCGCAGCAAATAATGTACAGAATTATCCGTATACAACATTTCTATGTGTTACCTGTATGTCACTTGTTCACATAAGAATGACGGGAATTCCTCTAATCGCACCACGTAGCTGTGTACAGAAGTTAGTGAGACACTAACTTGTAGTCCAGAAACTCCTTTTGTTCCTGACTGAGTTCCTCTACACACACAGAACTGTAAGACCAATAATAAGCATCCTCTACTGTATTAATCAGGAAGTTCTCAAGCATCTCTATTAATCTCAAACTCCACAAATATATGAACATTAATACAATAATGTTGCTCATTTAAATGGCTGAGAGAAAAATATAATATAACTGCTGCTGATTTTGATCCAAAGCTTCAATCGGATCTTTCTGTTTCTCCGATGTCCAAATATTTATGGAGATCAGTGCAGTGACTCGGAGCCCCAGCTGGTAAATGTTGTGGGGGTGGGGCTTAAGTCCAGCTCCTGTATTGCTGGCGATTGGTGATGGGGCCGACCTTATTGTGAAGGGGCCGACCTAATGTGTATTTTATCAAAGGTTCAATAAATACAAACTCCACTTTTCAAACTAATTCTGTGTCTCGTGCATTTTTATCCGTGCTTGTCAGAAACTGGAGATGATATTGACCATTTCAAAGTGTGTGAGCGTGTGTGTGAGTTTTCACAACTAAGGCTGGTGGGGCGTGTTAACCGTACGCTGCACCATCACAGCTTCCACAGAGGCGAGTGTGTGTGTGTGTCTCTCTCTCTCTCTCTGTGTGACTTCCTGTCTCAATCGACAGCCCAGCCCCACAAAGAGGAAACCAGACCCACCAGTGTGCACGTTGAGAGTCTGCAGCACCGCAAGAGACCGATCAGCTGTCACACCGTTGAGTTACAGTCCTGCCATTGATGTCAAAGATAGGAGCTTGAGAGAAACGCGATTAGAAAGTAAGGTGGAGTATTTCCAGATGTTATTTCAGTGATTTTATTTTGGTAATGGGGAAACTAAACAAACAGTTTAGTTGTGTCTCTTTGTGTATCTGAATAATGAGCTGATCGTGATACTGTGAATTAACTGATGTCCTGTCTCGTCTTCTCCATCAATCAGTGTTCAACATCTGTTTTTAGGGACACAAAGGTATTTGCTTCTTGAAATGTGTCACTTGCTAAATTTAACCTGAAGATTCATTATAGAAGATGAGTACTGCAGTTATTAGACAACTATTTTAGATGAAGAACGTGACTTTTGCGTCCTGAAAGTTAATCCGTCATTAAAGAAAATAAAGTTGTTCTAATCAAATGTACAGTAGCCTATAATGTGCTTGTGTTGAGACTCCAGGAGGAGTTTCAGAAAATAACTTTTCATTGAATCTCAGAATTTTGTCTTTTTCTTTTTAATCAAAAACTCTCAAAGTAAGATCCTCAACATTTCTTTCTTCCTGTAATCATCCCGTGTTGCCGCAGGATCTTCCTCCATGTTCGCAGTGACTCCCTCCAGCCCCAGCAGGTTCACGGCGCCGGGTCTGGTCCAGTTCCAGCTCGGCCTGTTCAGGGAGGTGGTTCGAGTCCCTGCTGGCAACCGCAGCTATCGCCATGCCAAGAGGCTGGCTGCTGAGATCATAGAGCGCAAGGTAATCCCAGCAGTCAGGAGAGTGAGGAGAGTGAGGAGCCTCAAAGGGGCTTTTCATCAAATGTACTAATGAAAGATGCTATTGGGCATCATGGGAATTGTAGGATGAAGTGTTTTTTGGAACCTGACTCATACTCGGTGAGGAAAGTCAGGAGACTGCGGCCTCTGCTGCATCCATTTAACAAGGCAGACTGATTTAGAAATTGTTGTGTCTGTTTCAATCATTTAGAAACAGCCTTTTCTCTGTATTGTAGACTCCTATGTGGTGGGTAAAAACCAATTAGACACAGTTTTTTAAAAGTCCTTCACCTGCAGGTAGAATCTGACTCTGAAGATGTAATGGCATTGATCGAGAGGTTCTTGGGGGATTTGCACTCGACCCATAGCTGCTCCAGTGGAGACCTGCAGCAGCCTCAAAGAGCTTAAGTGAGCCGAAACATGCTAAAAGGCGTTATTATTATTGTTAAAGGTTTGTAGCTAGCACTGAGTGATCTGTGACTGACTCAACACAGCCCCACTTGGAAAGTATTCAGCTGACATTTGGAGCCTCTCAGAAGAGTCAGGAAGTGGACTTTGAAAGGTCACTTTCTGCATGGAGGAGGATTGTGTCGGTTAGTGTGGTTTAATCTGTAGTGCATCTTATAAATCAGATTTAACCAGCGTTATATACTGATAAAGCAGGTAACATAGAACCAGTCTGTGTGACAACCAGACTCAGGATTCGGTCCGTTATGAATGAAATCTGTCGACAATGTTAAAACCTCAAACCCTCAATTTCACGACCTCCTGTCACTAAACTTTAATCCATTAGTGATCTTTCATGAGAGTAGAATTTAAATCTGCAGTCAGTCGGTTAGTGGTGCGTTGGAACCGTCGTTGATGTCAAACATGAGATGTTCATGAATTGCAGGTGTTCGGTCTCTGTCTCGGTGTCGGCTGGTCTGGTCTTCAAGCTGCCTCAGCTATAGAGACTCTGTGGTCACAAAGAGCACAGCAAACTTTCCAACCACAGCTTCTCCCCCTGCTGTCTCTCTCTCTCTCTCACACACACACACACACACACACACGCAGTCTGCCTCGCTCACACCGACGCTAGTTTCAACTATGATCTTTTCTGTTTCCAGGCAGCAGGTCAGCTGTGGGTGCGTGTGTGTGCGCGTGTGTGTGTGTGTTTTTTACTGGTGCATTTCAGTGCATTCACTGGATGCGATCCTGACGGCAGTAGCATGTTACTGTATGTATGTGTCTGCTGGGAGAGATCCTGTATCTCCACTTCTAACATATAACTTTTTTTAGTGTCAGAAAAAGAAATTCCAATATTGTATCATTTTACAATAATACGTTTTGTACAAAATATTTGCTTAAATACACTGCAAGGGGTCTCAGAATAGTAGGAATTATTTTTGAATTGTGTTAGCGATTAATGTACCTTCTGGTAAATATTGAGCTGTAGTTTGCTTTGCTTGATATTTATCTTATTTGTCCATCACGTTATTATGTCCAGGTAAAATTAAATGTACAGTAAAAACGTAGATGATGGCATTAACCCTTGCATGGCCGTAGTAATGCTCTGTAAGAAACGACACAACAGCTCAGTACATCACAGACCTAGCTGATGATGCTGGTTGATTCCTCTGCCCCCCCTCACTAGATAACCTAACTCAAGAAGAGCTCCCGTTATCAATCTTCAGAATCATTTCTCAGCCATGTGGCATATTCTGGTGCAGTTTTATATCATCTCTGATCTCTGATCCACCGAGCACACGAGACCGCACAACTATGTCACGGTAAAAAGATTTACGGTCTCTCTGACCAGGCAACAGTAACACACTCAGCAGTTACACACATTGACCCTCGTCTTCATCCTCTGAAGCGTACACACACGTTCAGAGTTGTGTACGTCTCAGTGCAATAGGTTCCCCGCATTCAAACCGACAACTGCACAATTTTGATTCTCAAGACTGAATGTTTTTTGGTGGAACAAGTGATGAAAGAGCTGAATACGTGATCTATGTATCAGCTTCATCCCAGCTGGTGGATCTTAATTCCTTCTAGCAGCACTTCAAAAAGGTTTAAATGTAGCTGGTTTCTTGGATGAAGTCTCAACCAGTGTGTGTGTGTGTGTGTGTGTGTGTGTGTGTTCAGGCTCCAGACTGCAGCGTGGTCGGTGTCGGGGAGAAGATTCTGCTGTTCAGACATCAGTCGGCCTCAGAGCAGCTGCTGCAACGTCTGACGGAACAGGACGAGCTGCAGGATGGAGACTTCATCGAGGTCATCATCGCAGGTCAGCCAAAAGAGAAAAAAACGTATTATGTTGCAGCTATTTATTCTTATTCTTCTCGTCTGATGTTTTATAAGATAAGATAGAAAGACTTTAATACTAGCCATCATTGTGTTACAGCAGATGACAGCATTATTTAGGAGGAATTAGTCTAAATTTGGAGGGAAACAAATCATAAAACACCTTATTTTACAAATCAAAGGCCTTTGTGCCTATATAAACATTTGTTGTCAGTTTTTCTTTGGTTTGTTTTTACCGTTCCACACTGCTCGGATCCACACAGGCTGTCAAGTTATCTGTGAGGTGCAGAGTCGGGACGCATTAGAGCCAACAAGCACGACAAAGCTGCTAAATCCTACCGTGAGGCTTACTCTGGCAGGTCTCCCTCCTTACGTGACAGTCCCACTGAGCTCTTGGACACGAAACACAAAAATGCTGCAAAAAGAAAAATCCCATAAAGACCGCAAGAGAAGCGGCGCTCTCAAAAGCTTTATTGCAAATTAGGGCACTTTACAGGTAGGAGGTGGCAAAGTGTATTTCACATTAGATAGCAGGAAAATATTTAGTTTACTGCAGAACAGAAACTACATTATATACACCACAATACGAATATACCACCTAATAACTGATACTAATACATGCTGGAATTTCCTTGTCAGGCTATAAAAGCATTAAGGAAAAACATGTAAGAGTGGAGCTGGTTTGCTTCAGGACCGGAAAACAAACATGCAAAACAAGATGAGATTTGTTAATCAAATGCAATACAAGTACAAGGCAGTGGTGTCAAGTACTCGTTTTATTTATTTCTCAGTAGCACTGACTGTACGCCATCTTTTTTTTTTTATCCGACTCAGGATCAGCGTCAGTGACTGAGATGAGGATCCGTCCACACACCCTGGTGGTCCAATCGTACCGGACCCCCACTTTCTGCCACCACTGTGGGGAAATGCTGTGGGGCCTCGTTCGGCAGGGACTGAAATGTGACGGTAAAGACACTCGCTTTCCACAGTGTGAGAATAAGTTGTTTGTTGTTTTATTCGCCATCATGTAACGTGAAGTTGCCTGTCTCTCCTTTTCCTCAGGTTGTGGATTGGACTTTCATAAACGTTGTGCCTTCCTGTTGCCCAACGACTGCAGCCGAGCGCGGCGTCAGGTCAGCACGAGCCTCTCCTTGTTCCCCCCCCGACGACCCCGCACGCACTCCCTGTCCAACCAGGCAGGAGGCAGCCTGGAAGAGGTACGTTCAGTCAAAATGAGCTTAAAGGAGGTAAAAACTAGCTCGCATTTCCTTCTGCACCGAGTCACTGGAACCTGTTGAAGATGAACTTCTAATCCCACGTTTACGACTCTCCCCATCCGTCCTTCTCCAGATCAGCATGACCAAGCCCTCGTCCAGGCCCGTGTCGTGGGCAGAGCCCCCGGTCTGGCTGGGAATCGGCTACAGCGACACGAGCAGGGCTCAGGTCCCTCACATCTTCCACATCCACAGCTACACCAAACCCACCGTGTGCCAGTACTGCCACCGGCTGCTCAAAGGGCTCTTCAGACAGGGGCTGCAGTGCACAGGTGAGGGGGCCGGGGGGGCTTCCTTCTGCTCGGGATACAAAGTGTTTGCGTTCCACAAATTCAAGCAGACATGTTTACTCCAATGATTCAGGCTTCACGGTCAAAGTTTTGCACTTTTTGGTCAAGACGTTTTTTTTGGAGCTTTCAACCACGTCCCACAGTCTTCCTCAGTGGATGCAGTTGGCCTGATATTTGAGCAGCCTCTATGAGCTCGTTAAAAATCTATGAGCATATTCTTACACGGAGGCTATTTATAGAAGCTTTGATGAGCCATTTGTGTATTAGAGGTTCAGAAACATGAGCTGGGCCCAAAGAGACCCACGTGTGTCTGCTGTGTAAGCAGGAAGCTCCGTCTGAAATGAAAACTAATCTTTGAATCACATTGATGGGTCCAAAAGGCTGACACTGTCATTTTGTGTTTTTCATGATGTGACTGAGTGCATCGCTCTGTTTCTCTGACTTTCTTCTCAGACTGCAGGTTTAACTGCCATCAGCGCTGTGAGCTGCTGGTCCCCAGAGACTGTCCAGGAGAGAGGAGAGGCCTCAACGGGGAAGGTGAGCGGTCGGTCCCTGGAGGTCTGCTTTACATGCCTGGAACAGTAACTCCTGTTCGATCATGCTCTCTGTTCTCACAACCCCGTGATGACTCGAGGGCTGATTCACCCTCCCATCTCCAGGACATTTGATAGATTCAGGACTCATTTTACTTTCACAGAAAGATGATCATGAGTGAGTCAGGTTTAGGTTTAACAGGATAGACGTTTACCTGTTAAACATCCGCATGTTAGCATGCTGCCTTTAGCTGCCTCTGTGCAGCCTCACAGAGCCGCGAGCACGGCTGTAAACTAACAAAATATGGAGGAAAAAAAAAAATAATAATCAGCTAAAAGATGTGATTTCTTCCTGTTATTGATTTTATATCATCTTTGGTATCAAGTGAGAAAAATGAGCCTCTCAGCGATTAAAATAACTGCTTTTTTAAACTACAAATTGATCAACAGAACATTAATCAACAGTAAATTATAAGTAATTTATTGTGCTCGTTCCAGCTTGTTATACGTTTTACTGCTTTTCTCTATTTTGGTCGAACAAATCAGGAAATAAGGGAAACACCTCACGTTGGCTTTCCTCACAATTCTTTTTATTTGTCTAAGATGTCTAAGATAATCATAAGTTCCAGCCCCTAATGTCTTTTGCACATGATGTCATTTTCCCAGAATCCACAGCAGCGGGTCACAGCTGCCCACCGGACCCAGAGGACAATGATTCAGAGCTCGCCAGCACGACAACAACACCAGAAATGTCCGACGACGAGATGTCCACGGACGGAGAATGGACGACTGAGACAAAGGAAGACGAGCAACCACGAGAGCCCATGAGGTCAGAGATGAGGTCTTTAATTTATTCTGATGATGTCATCTGGGTTTTGAAGGTGACTCCGGCATCCTGTTGGCACCAGACGGTGTCCCTGATGAATGTGACTCCTGCTCAGACTGAAACACTCATCTTTCCTGTTATCCATCACTGAATACATCATAAACCTTGTAGGCAGGGAGCTTACTGTCACCTAGAGGCATTGAGGAGACACTACAGCTGCTCCATCAGTGCAACGATAAAGTGACTTTAAATCAGTTCTTGTCCCTAAATCAGCCTCTTCTGTTTCATGTCCTTTTGTCTTCCGTCCCTCCTTCAGTCCGTGTTTCAGCAGCTACATCCCTCTGATGAGGCTCGTCCAGTCGGTGCATCACTCCAAGAAGAGAGCGGGAGGAGTCCTGAGAGAGGGATGGCTGCTGCATCACACCAACACTGACACACTGGTGAGACACGCACACACACACACACACTCGGTGTGTTTATGGGTATTAGAGATGCAACACTTGAATGTTTTCTGCCAAAAAAGAAAATACTGCAGATAAACATAAAATAGAAATACTTACACACGTCTTCTATATATTCTTTGCATTGTCTTTCCTCTTTGGCACATTTGGGAAGTAAAATGCATGTTTATTCAAATATGTTGATTGGATGAGGGAAGAAACGATTCAATCAAACCAGGGTAAAAGAAGCAAGAATGAGGAATTTATTAATAACAATGCCTACAATACACTTGAAGACTTTGAAAAGTCTTTTTAAATTCTGACACTGTAGACAACAAAGGTTATAAGAATTTGACTGAGGGTTCATTTTCTGTCCACTTTTTTCCGTCTCCGCTCTATCGCGGTACAAATAAGACTTACTGTCTGTCTGGACTAGTAAACGTACAATAATATTAAATATGTTTGACTTTATCAAGATGAACAAAAAGACTGACTTCAGACAGCGTATGAGTTTTACACCAATCGATCATTTGGTCTCAGGTCGGCATAAATGGAGCTGACTGACAAAGACAGCGGGTTGAAAAGTCTGCCGTAAAGCGTCCTTTGGGATTAACTGGTTCATTCACTTCCTACAAACGTACTGTACATCATGAATTATTCCTGTCGTCTGTTTTCCCAGAGGAAACGTCATTACTGGATCTTGGACTGGAAGAGCATCACTCTGTACCAGAACGAGAGCAGCACCAAGTACTACAAGGTAGAACTGACCCGCAAACGCTTCTTATATCAAATCATCTTTAGTATGAACAGGTTGGTTTTGGCACCTTGTAAGTGCTTGAAAAGTAAAAGAAATTCACTGCAAAACACAGGCTGCTTATAGGTTTATGAGAGTAAAATTCAAGCGCTCAACATAAAGAATCCTAACAACAAACACATGTTGGTGTTTCCCTCTGAATCTCTCTTCCTCTCTTCTCAGGAGATCGCTCTGTCCGAGGTGCTGCAGGTCCGAGGCCCCGCCCAGCTCGCCGTGCCCTCGCTGCCGGGAAACAGCGCCCACACCTTGGAGGTGGTCACGGCCTCGCTGGTGTACTGCGTGTTGGCCGGAGAGAGCGGGCCGTCCTGGGAGAGGGCCGTCCGCCAGGCTCTGATGCCCGTGCAGAGCAGCGGGGGAGGATGCGGCGAGGAGAGACCGGGTGAGCCAGAACCACCATAAATAAGTCTTACGCAATACTTTAAGTAGGCGTTGAAACATGATGCATTTAGATTTTATAATGTAATGAGTCATGAGTCAGACAGCCTTCTATGAACATATCATTATGTCTAATAACAAATATATGTTTATTAAAATACTCTGATTACAGATAAAGATTTATGCAGTGACGGCGTGGTAAGAATCAACTCTATACTTATTGATTCAGAATTAATCCCAGTGAACTTCTTCTTCATACCTCAGTGTGTGTGTGTGTGTGTGTGTGTGTGTGTGTGTGTTTGTGTGTGTGTGTGTGTGTGTTGCAGGACATCAGCTCGGTGTATCAGATCTCCACAGACGAGGTGCTGGGCTCAGGACAGTTTGGCGTGGTGTACAAAGGTGACCACGGTGTTAAATTATTACAGTGTTCAGATGTTCAGCAGAGAACCAGTGTATCTTCTTAGGGAGGTTTGCAGCCGAGGTAAAGATGAAAACGTTGACCTTTTACTTTATGGCTCCCAAGTTTACTAATAAGTTCTTTAAAAACAATCACATTTATCTTGTGTTTATTAAAGGGAAAACTCTGGAGAAAGTAAGAATTTTGTTAGCAGACTTGTAATTCAAAGCATTACCAGAACTGATGAAGAAACATAAATAAAGTAATATGAGTTATTCTTCATTCCTCAGGTACTCACAGGAAGTCGGGTCGTCCAGTCGCCATCAAAGTCATCGACAAGACGCGCTTCCCCAACAAACTAGAGAGACAGCTGAGGAACGAAGTGGCCATCTTGCAGGTACTTATGCATGTTTCATCTCGGTATTTATTTAAAGATTATTATCTTTAACATCTAATATATATATACGTGTGTGTGTGTGTTGCCCAGAATCTGTCCCACTTCGGTGTGGTTCTGTTGGAGGGGATGTTTGAGACGGTGGAGTACGTCTTCGTCGTGATGGAGGAGCTCCACGGAGACATGCTGGAGATGATCCTGTCCAGTGAGCTAGGCCGACTCCCTGAACGCAACACCCGCTTCCTGGTGGCTCAGGTAAGACCTCTTCATCATCAATAAACGCTCTGGACGTCTTTTCAATTATGCTAATTTTACGACAGCGGTTCCAAACAGAATATATCCTAAATACTTCTATCTATCTCAACTTCTGAAGTTCCAAAGATGTACTTGAGAGGGACAATAATAATATTAACGACTCTCACTTGTCTCTGGCTCGCTCGCTATCGTGGACGCACTAATCGTGTCGGTGGAGAAGAAGAAACCCACGTTTTAAAGTTAATTATTGTCTTTGCAGTCGATGTCGAACCATTAATTCATGGTCCGGGTTATTTAAAGCGTCATCAAACAGGTTGAGTAGCCTGTTAAGTGTTCATGTTGCTCCCCATCTTCATCATCATTGCCATCCTAAATTAGGATTCCTAACTTCAGAAACCCCCGTGAGGACGGTTCTGTCATAAATAAATTCCTATCCTGAGATAAGATAAGATTTGAGACTTTCTGTGGGTGAAATATGCAACTTCGGACAACGTCACAAGCCCAAAAGGTCGGTGAACCGGAGGTTAACAGAATGTATTTTAATGTGAACCTATTTGTAATGCTTATTTATCTTCATCACTGGGTAGTCGTTGCCAGTAACAGTAGAATAATAGCCAGATTTAGTTCTTGCTTGTCCCGTTTCAAGCCTTTTTTTAGTTAGATTTGTATGTTTTTATCAAAAAATCTAGTTTTCAGTTGATAACCAGACATAAGATGTCCAGTGGTGCACCACAAAATTGTCTCTCAGCATCCCTTAAAATAGAAGTGTTTGTGCTTGACCTCCTGCATTAATACATTGCACTATAACTAGTCCTCCTCATGTTTTTGTGCTCCGTCTGTGCTGCAGATCCTCGAGGCTCTGCGGTATCTGCACTTCAAACACATCGCTCACTGTGACCTGAAACCTGAGAACGTGCTGCTGGTCTCTGCGCACCCTTTTCCTCAGGTGGGATTTTCTTACAGTTTCACGCTTACACGTTTGAAGACGAGTCGCTCTAACAGCAACATTGCCCACCGCTCCGTGTTGAAGGTGAAGCTGTGCGACTTCGGCTTCGCCCGCATCATCGGCGAGAAGTCCTTCCGTCGCTCGGTCGTGGGCACGCCGGCCTACCTGGCGCCCGAGGTGATCAGCAACAGCGGCTACAACCGCTCCCTGGACATGTGGTCCGTGGGCGTCATCATGTACGTGAGCCTGAGCGGCACGTTCCCCTTCAACGAGGACGAGGACATCCGACAGCAGATCACCAACGCCGCCTTCATGTACCCGAGACAACCGTGGTCCTCCATCTCTCTGGAGGGTATGGATGCTTTCTTTATTTGAACTCTTCCTGTTGCAGCTTTTAAAGACACGGCAATGAGATTCTTTTCCCAAGGTTTGATGTTTCTTTGACTTTCTGACCACAGAATGCATCAAGGAGAGTTAAAGATGCTGGTAACTGTGACAGAAATGCAAATTTAAATCAAGTAATGACTAAACTTACTTAGTAAGAAGAGGACTTCATAACAGTGAATGTTTAAAGTTTCATTCATGAATCATTGTTCATGAATATACTGATGATTTTCCACTCATTTATATTTGTTTAATTTTGCTTAAATCTTGTTCCACACATGTCTGTCCTCCTGTTGTCCACTGGGTGTCTCCAGTGGACACAGAGTAAATCCTCGCTGTCTCTTTTTTGGTCTCCAGCTGTGAGTCTCATCAATAACCTGCTGCAGGTGTTGGTCAGACGGAGGTTCAGCGTGGGCAAAACCCTGGGACACCCCTGGCTGCAGGTGAGATGTACTACACTTGTTTTGTCGTCTGATAGGAGCAGGTTTATAATTGTAATATTGTGTTCTGTCAGGGACGGCATGCATTAACCCGTTCATGAAAGCCCCTCTCGTGGATAAAGACTAATGTGGAGGTAGAATAATCTGGGAACCAACTGACACTGTCTCATCGTCCCTCCTGCAGGAATTCCAGCTGTGGTGTGACCTCAGGGAGTTCGAGCAGAGGAGGGGCTGCATGTATCTGACGCACTGCGGGGACGAGGAGCGCTGGATCCGCTACGCCCAGGACAGAGGCCTGGAGTTCCCACCACACCTCTGCTGGGACCCTAACCTCGACCCGGAGGGTTAAAAGGTTGGGACGGTTTTGTTGTTACTCATGTTTATTACACATTTATAACAATTCCTACTTCTATTCTATACAAAAAAACAACACGACTTCTGTTTAGTAATATACTTTTCCTTTTTTATTCCAAGTTGAGGTTTTATTAAATAGAACTGTGTGGAAGTGATTTTTTTTGTGGCGTCTGTGATGATGGACAGAATGAGAAAATGGAGCACATGAAATTAAAATATCGTACATAACGGAGGAGTCGACTCGCACTGATCCTCATGGCCGACCTGACAATGGGACCAAAACCCTATTTGCTTCGTCGCTGACATAGGCCTGCTGTGGTCCCACGTACAGTATCGATTCTTCTTATTTTGTCCACAACTTTCCTGATGCCCTTTGTTGTCTCTCGCTGCTCGACACCTCTCTTCGTCTGTGTCGTTAAACTGAGCTGGAATACGTTCTAGAGAGGTGTGTGGGATCGGTCTGTCTTCCTTCTTACGTCGCCATCCAGCCATGGCCCTGTCTATTTACCCACAGTGCTTTGCTCTCTCTCACTTTCTCTCTGCATTTTAATGTTAAGGTGCTCGCATTCACCCTCCGCTTGTTCCTGAGCTTAAGGCTTTAAGATCTGCAGGTTTCACAGTGCTGTAGTATTTCTTTGTAAGAGTGGGTATCTTTATTGTTAGGCTGGCTTTGTGACATCATAGCACCTGACCTGCTTTAACAGGCTCCTAAGGATACGCTTTGTGTGTGATTAAGGAAGAGTCAGAGACTCACAAAGACAGTGTTCCTAACCTTCAACATAGCATGCATCTGCACAATTACACAACCAAACCAACTGACCAACCAGCGTTTTTTTAAATCACGTTTTCTTCTTTAATTACCCTTCTACAAAAAATATGTCATCTGTGAGAGAGAGGGGGGGAGAGCAGGAGGCTTAGCTCAAAATAACTTATTTTTCTAACGGACTCAGTACCTCCGTCTGCTTCTCCTAGAGGCAGGTGTGATATATGTATGCTGCTTACATAATTCAGTGCAAAACCTGCCACGTCCCTGGTTTTTAAAGGCATTCTAACAGAAATGAGGGACAAGCTGGCCGGTCCAAACAGCTTGATTTGAGCAAAGCCTTCTACTCTCATCCTCTCTGGACAGTGTATTTTGGGGCGTGGGGAGGGGGAGGGGGAGTGAGTGAAGGGAAAGAAAGTGAAGATTTGAAAGAGGAAAAAAAAGTGATAGTATAGAAGGACAGTGGAAAGGGATTTAGTCGCTCTCTCCACATAGGAGAAATAGGAGCTGGGAAGAAGGGATAGGCGAAGAGAAGCGGGGTTTTTTTTTTTGTTTATAAGTCGCTCTCTCCATAGAGGGCGCTGGAGAAGGAGATGTAGTCCAGGGCGCCGGTGGCACTGTCGGATCCGGTGTACCTGGTCATGCGGCTGATGCAGTACTCGGCCTGGTCGGGTGGCAGCTCCCTGCGCAGCTCGTCCACTGTGATGTAGTTCTGGAGGGGAGAGAGACGGGGGTGATTTAGAGAGGCACAGAGACCGCCTTGACTAAATGAATACTTTGCCAGGAGCTGCTTTTGAAATGAACTTGATGAGCACGTCGGCGCTCGTGTACTCTTAGTAAGACTGCTCTTCCTGTCAGTGGGTAGACGTTGAGCTAACGGGACGCTGTAGTGGTCTTGCTCACCTTGTCTGAGGCCAGAATCTTGAAGGAGGCCATGACCTGTTCTGCAGTGTCGGTCTCGGCGGTCTCGCGAGTCATGAAGTCGATGAAGGCCTGGAAGGTCACAACGCCCGTGTTGTTGGGGTCCACCAGGGTCATGATGCGAGCGAACTCCACCTCACCCTGTTAGAGAGTTCAGTTGATACGTTAAATGAGTTTTATCAGTGAATTCAGTTCTTGCTGCTTTAGCATCCTCACTAATCATCGTGTACATGGAGAGGACATGCTAAAATGAAACTAGTCACAAGTCACGTTTCACCATTTGTCCTGAAATTGTGCCCGTTGTACTCACCAGATCGTAACCCATCGAGATGAGGCAGGCACGGAAGTCGTCTGGATCCATCATGCCGTTTCTCTTCTGCAAGCAAAAACACAGTTGTGTTATAAAAGGACGAAGCTCCAAGAATCATCGTTACAACGCCCGTGTTTTATTCTCTTGACGGTGCTTGAACATCAAGCATTAGTTGGAGTACAAAAATAACATCTCAGATTGATTTGTAATGTTTCAAAAAATAAAAATAGAAGATCTTTTAGTTACTGTGCTGTTCGCATGCTTCTGTATGTCATTGTGCCTTTTTTAAAGGTCAGTGAACGCCTCACCCTGTCGAAGTGGTTGAAGGAGGCCCTGAACTCGTTGAGCTGTTCCTGGCTGATGCCCTTGGCGTCGCGGGTCAGGATCTGGTTCTCCACCTCGTTGATGGTTCTGGCGATGGTGGTGAGCAGCTGCTCCCAGCCCACACGCACGTGCTGCAAGAATACAGGAAATTTCACATCAAGCTCAGAGGCGAAGAGGACGAGAGGGTCAGCCTATCCCTGAAGCCCACTGTACCTCCATGGTGTAGTTGGTGTGCTTGTTGTCGAAGATGAGGGACTCCTGGCTGAGCTGGTGGTCTCCCTCCAGCTTGTCGATGTTGGATTTGTAGTTGATGATGTTCTGCTCGTACTGCTTCAGGCTGTTCATCTGTTCCTCCAGGGAGTTGGCGATGTCCACGCACACGTGGCTGATCTCCTGCAGGGGAGGGAGAACATTTAAATCTAGCAGCATGTTTAACAGGTGTATATAGATAATCGTTCAATCATGTGTGTCAACAGTGTGCAGTGTTTCAGTAACAGCGTACCTCCATCTTGGTTTGAATCCAGGGTCCGATGATGTTGGCCTGGGCGGCAAACTGGCGCCTCAGTCTCTCGTTGGCTTGCTGTCTGGCCACCTCCTCCTGGAGCATTTGGTCTCTGAGGGGAACAAGGTGCTTCACCTGCAGGCGAACAAAATCAAACACAGTCACGAGGAGCTTCGACCAATATTTTTTTTTGAATGTGTTCTTTTGATTTGTGTTGGATTTGAACTCACAGTGTCCCACTTAGTGCTGATGTCCTGGGAGGAGAGGTTGGTGTACGGGTTGATTCCGGACAGCTTGATGCCGTAGGTCTGGGCGATCTTCAGGATCTCGTTGTGGATGCCCATGGTGGCCATGCGCTCCTTGTCGGCCTCGGGCAGAGTGGCCTTGAACTGGTCGTGAGCGGTGATCAGGCTCTAGAGGCACATCGGGTCAATGTTACACTTGACCGGTGTGATGACAAACACATAAAAACACAGAGCGGCCGCGTCTCCACGCATCCATGGCGCTCGCTTGTACCTGGATCTCCTCGATGCTGTGGACAATGAACATGTCCTGCAGGTCCTCCATGGCTCCGTCCATCCAGTTGTTGAAGGGCGCCGCCCTCTTGGCAAACTCCAGGTAAAGCTGGTCGATGGTCTCCCACAGCTTCTCCACACGCTGCAGACACACAGACAGTTAAAGGAGGTGCGGACAGCGCATGAAGAACCACTGTATCCTTGACTGCCGTGCTGTTTTCTTTATGAGTGTTTCAGGGTGTACCTCCAGAGCGTCCCTCCTCTTCTGGGTGAGGGTGCCCAGGTTGTCCCACTGGTCACAGATGCCCTGGCAGCGGGTGTTGACTGTGGCAGCATCGTGGTAGTCCAGCTCACTGGAGGAGATGAGGAGAGCGACGCGGCACGATTAATTACCTTTTTAAGTACATATCTGCCTTAGAAGTAATGAATGTGAAATGATGCGTGGCACGCATACATATTCAGCGTGATGGTGCTGAACACTGTATATAGCATCAAAGAGATCGTATCAAAACGATCAGCGGAGGAAAAAAAAGGCCCAGGAGTGGTGAGGAATAAGAAAATGTTGAGATCAGAGGTTTCTGCTCTACCATCAACCATCCTTTCATCTTTTCATCCCTCTCATTAATATGATTTCCACTCATTTTTGTTTTTCACTGTATTCACATCATCGTCTACTCTCCACATATCTCTCCCATCACGACCACTAGAGTCCTGGACCACTTAGCTCACCTTATTGCTGTTTCTTTCAGTGTCACACACACACACACACACCTCTATTACACTGATCTAACACCTGTACTTCTCTTTTTTTCCCCTGTTTCACCCTCTCTCCTGGCTTCTTACTTCAGCTCCTGGGCGATGGCAGCGATCTGCTCCACTCTGTCCTGGTGGGCGGCGAGGTCGCTCTCGAAAGCCTCGTGCTTCCTCATCAGGGCTCTGATCTCCATCAGAGAGGCCGACTCGTAGTCCTTCTTTGACAGCAGCTCCTCCTTACCTGAAACACACAGGTCTGCATTTCAATACCCGACCTTCAGAGACGACTGGCCTTTAAGTTTAAACAGCTGTGTGACTTTAGTTTAGTCTTTGGATCTTTTGTCACGCTTCGTCCCCAAAGCTGTCACCTTGCTGTGTCAGCAATCCTTCGCCCCCTCACATCACCTTCCAGGACAGAATCTAATCCCCCAAAAATATCCTGAATTGCCTTCATAGTACAATTATCAAAAAAAATCATAGTATAGTATGTCGAACAGTCATAATAAAGTGACTGACACTCTTTCTGGGGGTGTGCAGTTTGACAGAATAGCTGAGTAGAGTATTACATGACAGCTCAAATGAAAGAATTCAACACATGTACGTACGAACACGATCCCGGTTTCCTGTCGATTACGTTCATCACAACTTTCTGTCATCCCTACCTCCGGTCCAGGACTCGTGCATAGAGCACTTCTGCTTGAACTTCTCAGCCAGGTGATCGAGTCTCTCCAAGCGGCGGATCTCGACCAGCAGCCACTCCTCGTAGCCCTTCTCCACCTGCTCCAGACCCTTCCAGGCATTGGCAATATCCTGGCGGAGAGAGAGGCTTCGTCATCATCGTCTTATTTTAAATACAAGGATTTCTAAACTTTCTTTTGAGGGAATTGAGTGTTCATAATGTGAATAAAGAAATGCATGCCTTGAGTAGACATATCTGTGTACATGTTTGAGAAACTACAAATGAGTTGCAGCTTATAGTTGCATCTAGGCCAACTTAAACATGAGCTATGTAACCAAGCTCATGATGTTCTGAGCTCTTCAAGTTTTCCTTTCCTTCTTGGAAATCCAACAATAACACACTTGAGATAAAGACGCGTCCTGCTCACCGACACCATCTTGCCCTCGGACGGCATGAAAGCGGGCCTGTTGCTCAGCCTCAGCTTGGTCTGCAGGGTGTTGAAGTTGATCTCCAGTTGGCACTTCTCCTGCACACGGGGCGGTTTGTGGATGCGGCGGTAGTCCCGGAAGTCCTCCAGCTTCTGCTGCATGGCGCGCATGGTCTGCTCCGCCGTGCGGTTCTCCAGCCAGGGGGTGGTGCGGCGGATCCACTCCAGCAGCTACAGTAGGAAGCGACATTATTCTTGTCTGTATCATTACGTTTTAGAACCTGTATATATATTGTTCTACTGTCCTATCACTGTAATACTTTGTCCTAACACTAGGAGGAATACTGCAGTTGTTTCCTAAAAACTTTGCCTTGCTTTTCTCTTTACAAATCAATAGCTAATTATGTCACATTGATCATAACAGTTTATATATATATTGATTAACTGCATTTCTGTATATTGTTCTTGGCTGCTCTTGTAACGGTTCTGCGACTGTAACACTTTCACTTATCAGCGCACTGCTGATTTGCCTGCAGGGTTTTTTTTTTTTTTTAGAGACGTGTCGCGTGAAGTTAGCGCGAGGATCAGAAACCATTGATTCTAAACTGGCGGAGCATTAGAGTGTCGTTGCAGAGGAGGATGTGCAGGACAGACTGAGCGTGGGAGTAAATGGTTGCAGCGGTTTCTCACCTCACTGGCCAGCTTCTCGTACTCCTCCATCAGCTTCTCATTCTCCTGGTTCACGGCCAGAACCTTGCAGATACGGTTGGCAGCTGTCTCAGCCTGAGGGGAGGGGAGAGAGTTAACAAATGATGTACATTTACAGCATCACATCTCCACTGTTTTAAACCAAGCAACGCTCCAAACAGCCTTTTTAAAATATTAAAATGATATATTACTACAACATGAAAACAAAATACCATCTGACCTGCTCAGCGCCGGCAAAGGCGTGGTAGAAGCAGGACACATAGGTCATGATGGCCTTCTCATCAGGTTTGGGTGTGTTCACGATATCTGAGAGAGGAAGAAATAACAACGGTAAAATGTTTTTAAAAGCCATCCCTGGTGAGGAAAAAGTTCCACAGTCTCACCTTCAGCGTCAAGCATCTTGGGGATGTCCAGGAACTTCTCAGCCACCTCGAAGGCAGTGTTCAGGTTACCAATAGGGTCGTCCTACAGGGCACACACGATTACTGTCAGACACGCACACATGTAGGACTGCACTGCACCAGCAAGTAGACAAGAATCATCATAACGGCCGTTGTCACAATCCACACAGAGAGGAAGGAAATAGGATTTACACCCTGTGTTAAATCAACCAAACAATGTTTAAATCTCGGAGAAGTCTTTGGCAAGCTACCTTCAAAATCCCATTCCAGTTGTACAATAAACTGGTATTATATGACTTGTTAGCACTGCAAATATGAGTCCCTGGTTAACATATAAGATTGTGAATTTGGGCATGAAAGATTTCAAAAATGTTTTATCACATCTACAAAAGTATTTGACATTGCAACACTATGTTTGCACTGGATGCTAAACTGCATATCTTGCAGACACGCTGATCGTAGCACAGAACATTTTCACAGTGTGTCACTTGGAATGCAAAGAAACTGAGGACTGAAATAAAAGATAAGAGATTTATGAAGACACAAAAAAGAAAGACTGATTGTCAATCCTCGTAATTCAGTATGAAGAAAGAAAACAAAGCAAATCAGAAGAGGAAGAAAGGATCATAAACAGGAAGGGAGGACAGGGCACCTTTCTCAGTTTGGAGTAGTCAATGAGGTCAGGTCTGTGTCTGTGGATGAGGGCGCACAGAGCCAGGCCGTCCTTCCAACTGAGCCACGAGAAGAGGTGGAGGACCACATGAATGAAAAGTGGGAGAAGGAAGTTTCAGAGAAGACTCGTGAGACAAAGGATGAAGAAGGAAAATGAAACAGGATAAGGAAGGGGGTTAGATGTATGGAGGAGGAAGTTACATGGTAAGAGTACAAAGACATGGTAAAACATTACATCCAAGAAAGATGGCTGCACTTCCCTGCTAATGCCACAGTTCGGCGTGGTAGACCCACCTGATGTGGAAGTTCTGCACGTTGACGTTCCTGTAGGGGGCAGTCTTCCTCTGGCACCACAGCAGCAGACCCTCCTTAGCAGAGGTCTCTGGAGAAGGTAAAGGGAGGGAGATGGTGAGCATTAGAGCACTGAGCAAAGAAAACAGTATTTTATTCCAGCATTATTATGTCAAAGTAAGGAGGGAACAGGGTCTTTTCAGACAGGCGAACTGAAAAGTGGATAAATAATGTAAAGAAACCTACACGGTCTGGTGTGTAAAGAGGAGGATAATTTAGTCTGTAGCTGATATATTTGTCCGTTAATGGTAAACAAACTTTACTTTCTTAAAGTCAGGCTAGTGCAGATATTGTTTCCCGCACTAGAGGAGAGAAGACGCGTTATGAGAGGTGAGCAGGAGGTTGATGGCGAAGGAAGTCAAGCATACATGACAGCAGAAGATATTGAGGAGCAGGAGCAATAAAAAGGGAGTTAAAGAAGACGGAGGCGAGGGTCAGAGGTGTGTGAGGAAGGTCTCAGGCTTTATAAACAATAACTCACTGGGAGCTAAACCTGCCCGACAACATGAGTGTTGTTTAAAGGGACATGAGGTGCAGATGAAGTTCAGGGAAATGATTTACTGCATACCGTCAAATCACACAGTACAGTAAATTCACAAGAAACAGCTAGTTTGGATCTGTAAAAAGTAACAAACTCCATCTCCACCCCTGAGGCTAACTAAATAAAAAACATGTAGCTTTAAGTTGTGTTTTTAATGTTAAGTTAGGCGTTTTATTACTGAGGTCAATGTTACTTTTGGTAAACACACATACACACCTTCCACAGAGATGTCCTGGATGGCAAAACGCAGGATGATGGTCCAGATCATACCAAGGGTCATCTTCCCGTTACCGTCAACAATTTCTGTAAACACACACACACATTATTAATCATGGCAAGAGAGAAAATATCAAAGACTAAGAGCAGGCATCTCAGTCACAGGAGTTCTGTGTCTGCTATTGAAAGAAGGCTTTTGGATGGTGCTGTCGAGACAAATTGAATTTCACGCGGCCTGAAGGCTCAGAAGGAATCTTGACTGCAAATTAGAGTGAAGAAAATGTAAAGGAAATGAAGTCACAGGGAAATTCACAAACTGTTTTTAAGAGGATAAATTGAGTAAACTCAGCCGGGTAAAAACTGAAGCAGGTTTAGAGGAAAAACTGACCAAATCTGAGCATTTAAATTGTATTAAAATGTCATTTTTTTCTGTTGTTTTCATCTCTTCAGTTCTCACTCTATAGTATCTCTCTCCTTTATAGTTTACCTAATTTCAATTCTATAATAAATGTTTATAAATGACAACATGAATACATTTTTTTTTTTGATAATTTGAAGTATGTATCTAACTAAATGTTGGCGAGTCAGCAAAATGGCAGAAAAAGTGCCCGAGGATAGCTCCAAATATGTAGAGTAAGTTAAGGTATTAATTAATAAATTAAAACATGTGTGCATTGCAGCTCATTCCTCATGTTTGTTCCCAGTTGGTTGATCTGTAGTTTGCTGTAGTCTGCCTCGTCTCATCTGAACTCTCATGATGCTGTGAGCTTCACCAGCCAGCTGGTGCTCAAAAATACATCCAAGAAATGCAAATATGGTGTGACCGTGGCATATTAATTAAAAGAGACAAAGGTAGGTAGCAGAGGGAGGAAAAAAATAATAAAAGGGAGCGTTTGTTATTCAAAGCAGGACTCTCACCCTCAGCACCGATAGACACCAGCTTGACCCCCTTGCTGCAGATGAAGTCCAGAGCTTTGTTCACGTTGGCGATCTTGTGGAAACGCATCTTGCCTTTGTCGGGTTTGGGCAGCCTCTCGCCTGAAAGAAAAGAAAAGAAGAATCTATTACAGCTGAAACTATTATTTGTTGAAGTCGAATATTTTCTGGCTCCGGCTTCGAATGTAAAGATTTGTTGATTTTATACATGTATCGTAAAACTGGTGATGGGACATTTTAACTACCCGGTTAAAGTAACTATTCAGCATAAGTATGGTATAATACAGTATATCATCCACAATGACTCAGTCGCAACAAATGTGTGTGTGTGTGTGTGTGTGTGTGTGTGTGCTGATGAGACCCACCTGATATGACCTCCAGCAGCAGCATGAGTTTGAGGCCATTTCTAAAATCTTCTTCAATGTTCTCAATCTGTGTCCCGGCCTTCCTCAAGTGGGAGTTACACCAAGCTGTGAAGGTCTGAGAGAGAGAGAGAGAGAGAGAGAGAGAGAGAGAGAGAGAGAGAGAGAGAGGGGGAGAGAGAGAGAGAGGATGGAGTGGGTTACACTGTCACCTTTCTGACTGTATGACAAACACATTCACAGACACTGACAGCGAGCACTATGACTATACCTGCTACACACACACACACACACAAGAATATAGCCTGTAACTAACACACACATACTTTATACACACACACACCTACACACACACACACACCTTGACGTTTCCCTTTTGAGAGCCGGGTCAAAACTGCTTGGCAATGCAGGAACTGTCCACTTCAATCTGTGACATTTGTTTCGCCGTGGCTGCTGACGGTGAGAGCGCATGTGTCCGTGCACAGGTACACGGGCACATTTATGTCAGTTTGACTGTTGACTCAACAGTCCTGAACGAGATGAAACTGACTTCTGCTTTATTTTATTATTTAGCCTATTTGAATGTTTGTCTTTTTGGAAAATCATCCCATAAATTGGAGTGAATATTACAGTCTTTGTTTTGCTTTATTCTGTATGAAAAGCTTTTTCCTTCAGTTCATTAATGTGAGAGAGCAGTGCCATTACACACGACCATCCACTGTGTTTTCTCTCATTAAATCACGTGCAAATAACCCCACACACACACACACACACACACACACACACACACACCTCTGCTCACATCAGGCTGGTCGGTTATAACTCGGTCCTCGGCCTGTTTATGCTGGAGATGCTGGGTTTGCCATTGTACCTGTTAACTTCCTCGACAGACAAACAGGACCTAGCGTGATGGGTCTATTGGTGTAAAAACTCTAAGCCAGGAAGTCAGCTGCTATAAAGTCCGATATTCGGTCCATAATTGTGTTGAACATTTTTGCAAGAGCAGATGCTGCATCTTTCAAAAGCCAGATCTGGCATTTGAGAAACCAAACTGTTCATTTCGGGGACGCTGCTGCGCGCAATGGGCAGAATGCAGACGGTGATGTAAATGGCTCTCAGCCGCCGAGTGCTTGCTTTTGGTCTTGCCTGGAAAATTGCCGAATGGCGTCAGTCGTGTGCACGTCTGGGACAATTCAATCGGTCCCATCGGGCCATTCAATCAATCTCTGAACGGTATTTTGAGAAGCTTTCATGGTGTTTAGCTTGGAATGTGAATATGGGATGTGCGTGTTCGCATTGAGGAGTGGGAGTGTGGGTACGGGGCTGCTACTGTGGAGCCACAACTTTGCCAGGGTTTGGAGGATGAGTGGGTGCAGAAGCAGAATAAGTACATGAGCTGAATAACTAACTACAGACGATAGTGTGGGCGGAGTGAGGAGAGAGAGAGACTAGTGGAGGTGAGAGCGGAGAACATTTAACACTTTATAAACCAAAATGTATACGTCCTCGTACATTATATGGGTGTGTGGTTATACATTTGTGTGCCTCCATGTCTATCGCGTGCACTCAAGTGTGACTGTAGATCTGCATGGACAGAGAAGCAAAGCACCAGAGACAGACAGGAAGAGAGGGACGGAAAAGAAACCGGCGTTTTTGACAGAGAGAAACCACACGAGTGACTCTCAGACTCTAGAGCTGGAATAATTAGTTGATTGACAGAACATGAATTTCTCTATTCTGCTGATTTTCTCGACAGTTAACTGAATCATCGTTGAGGTTTGGGCTGTTGTCACCTTGAGCTCTAATTTGACAAGTTTTAGACCAAAAGATAAATGAGGAATTTTAAATTTGTTATATTATAAAATCTACATGTTACACTGGAACACAAAAACACAAATACATGTGTTGAGCGTAGTATAAATCCTCAGGTTTGTGGGAAGCAGTAAAGAAACGCTGTGAAGCGTCTAGAGTTACAGGAGAGCGACAGGTGCTCTTCAGATGACGTAATCTCGACGTCTTTGTATTAACATTTGAAGAGCAGTGGCCGGCGGTGGAGTTAAATGAATTACATTTTGAGGAACTTGTACTCTGCTAGTATTTGTATTTAATCTGTTATGAGAAATATTGTACTTTTAATTACAACACATTTATTTCACACCTGCACTTACTTTGCAAATAAGTATTTTATATAGAGACAAATGCATGATCATCTTAGAAAATAAGATGTCATATTAGATTAAACTACCACAGTGTGTGTTTGTATATAAATACATATACACATCTAAATACTTCTTTCACTACTGGCAGTGGTTGATGGAAACTTTGCAACATTTGGACAGAAGAAATAGACCTTGTCCCGTCTGTAAAACATTATTCCATTCAAACTGAATTTCGGAATTTGAAGGCTAAAGAAAGACACTCGTAGAGGAGCGAGGCAGCGAAGGGGAGAAGTGAGAGGAGGGACAGGAATGCCCAGGCCCGGGTGTAATTTGATGTAAGGGTCTGGAGGGGAGGAGAGGCCGCCTGTCCAACCAGCCGGGGTCCCAGCAGGTGCTCGCCTCCTTTGCCATGCATGACCAAATTTAGACAGGCTCCTAATCCGGCACACACGGGCCACTAGGCCAAGTCGGTGAGGAGACGAGGTGTATGAAGAAGGAAGGATGTAAGGAGCCAAAGGAGCAGGCTGGAAGGGGGGGTAGGTGGGGGCTAAATTAAGTAGAAGAAGGGGGAGGAGGAGAAAAGACTGAAAAGTGAAGGGGGGGGGGGGGAGGAGGGAGGGGGGGAGGCTAAATCGGGTTGCTATGGGACACCACCGGACAGCTGAGAAGGCAGGATTCCTGAGGTGAACTGTAAGAGTCCAAGACGGAGAGAGAGAGAGAGAGAGAGAGAGAGAGAGAGAGAGAGAGAGAGAGAGAAGTAGAGGAGGAGGAAAAGAGGAGGAGGAAGGAATGGATTGAAGAAAACGACGATGTATAAAATAATACGTGTGGGTAAGACGAGAGGGATGAAACCCCGCCAACATCAAAGGGGGGCCATTAGAAACTAAACGGGTGGTAATTGAAATCAGGGCTTCATTTGACCTAATAAAGCTGTAGATGCAAACATAACCCAGGATACATTAAACCCGATGTGCTAAACGGAGCACCGCGGGATAAAAAAAAACAATTATCTGCCATACCTCGGATAGCAAAGCTATTATTGCTAGGCCTCTGCGTCCACAGCTCTATTATCCCATCCCACGCGTTTGTTTTAATGCCTGTGGTGGTCTGCAGAGTCCACCGGCATGAAGTCACCCTCCATCCTGGCATCCCCCCCCCCCACCCCCCCGTCCTGTGGTCTCTTCTCTGTCCGTCCACACCTGTCGGTCTGGCCTGGCTCAGCGAGACCAGGACCTTTTTACTCCTTCTTGTAAAATGAGGTCACGGTGGCCCAGCTGAATGCCTGTCATAACTACAAACCCCCCCCAAGGGGGAATCGGGGCTGCTGACCCTCAATACAGCTGACACACACACACATCCCTCTTCCCGTCTGAAAGGGCTCAGAGCTCTTAATAATGTCAGCTAGCTCGGCTGTCCGTCAAAGAGCTGATGCAACTACTGGGTGGAGATACCGCTGCGGCCTCAGAGGGGAAGTCATGAGCAAGATGCATTTTACACAACAGACCTGCTCAATATCTGCACTTCATATTCGATCTCAGCAGAGCTCGGATGTAGTTTGGTTGGAGTAGAAACTAATAACATCTTCTGGTAAAATGAGGCGTTATTATTCGACCTATGTGCTGAAAAAAAAACATTTTATTCTTCTCAATTGTTGCTGCTTTGGAATGAGGATTATGTTAATTGATGATCTGGGAATGAAGAATAGAAAAAGTAACTTTTACAGACAGAGCTTGTGCTGCAGAACATGTAGCCATAAAGCATAAACTACAGTCATTGCTCCATGTTGAACGGCTGCTTTTGTTTTAACTGTGACGGAACTCTCACCACGGTGTGTAGACACAAAATGGCCTCCTGCAGTTGACCATCTCCCTGTTTTGCTGCTAAATTACAGGTATGTACCTCCCACCCTCTCTGGTGCCAGTATAACACACACACACACACACACACACACACACACACACACTTCAGCTGTGGCTGACCTGATGATTAGCCCAGAGTGAGTGTTACTCATGCTATGTCAAGGTGCTCTTTACACCTACAGAGCTCAGTTTCTCCGGCCGTGGTTACACTTGTTTTTGTCAACGCGCCTTCTGGTGATCGGATGCTCCGGATCAGAACTCAGCTGTGTGCAGACATGCGCTCACACACACTTGACACTTCCATACAACCCGAGTGATCGGACAGCGCTCAGATATATTAAAGGAGCAGCTTTAAAACGCTGATAAACACGTTTCATTTCTTATACATTTTTCCACAGTAGAAGTGCAAGAGAGGATGGAGTGAAGTGCAACCACGGCCTCAGATCGTCCTTTGAAAGAACAAAAAAAAGAAAGAAAAACACCTAATTACATTTCTGCTAATTAGGTGGATAATTGATTGCAAGATGGTCTCAATTTGCACCTAACCTCTGTGCAATTCATCCCTCACTGGTGTCCAGTCTTTTGACACGGAGGAGTGTGCATGATTTAATTATACACGTCTTCGGTAGCTGATTTTCCTAATTAGCACCTTCAAAACATGGACGGGCGGTCTAATTAGGGAAATATGCTGGTGTAGTGTTGGTGTGGATTGAAAACGTGCATTCTAATTCCATCTGGCTTACAGGGAACGCTGCCTGCACGTATCCGTCTACAGCTACCCCGTTACTTCTGTACAGCTTTGTGATTTGGTGCTTTTTTTTTTTAACCTCGATTTGTTCCGAGTAAAACAATAAAGCTTTTAAAAGGCTTCATTCAGAAGCACATGGAGCTCAAAAATGCACTTTGCAAAATCTATTGTCGTCAAGTTAAGCATCCTGGAGATTCATCGAGTGAGCCCGTGATAGACTGAGACAGGACAGCCCATAACCTCCTTCTTTCAAATCCAGTTAGTTTAAATAAAAGTCCTGACGTGGCACTAAACGTGCACACAGAGGTTTTCTGTTTCATGTTAATGTTTATAACAAGTCAAAATGACGCAT